CGTGCATATTTTCATATGTCTCGCGAAAACATAAAACGCGACAATTAAGTCGGGCTAATTATGCTGGCAAAAAGAGACCTTGCGGTATACCCGCCTTTAGCCCATAATCCCTAAAACAAGAATATGTGCGCAAAACTATATACGTCTTGTGACATGCACAGCGGAAGGAAGAATTGGGTGGATTGTCTAGTTTGTGACGCTCAAACCAAGCTATTTGACACTTCGCTGAAATAGGAAATATACGTTCGATAAGTGAATCCGAGTACAATGTTTACGCGAGAACATTTTGACCTCCCAGATGCAAGGGCAGCTTTCAACCTTGATTGCATATGGTAAAAAAAACCTCAAACACTACTTGAGACCGTCAAATCTTCATATCTTGTCGCATTTTAAACGCTCTAAGCGTCAATAATCTGAAGAAAATGTAAACGCTTTAAGAAAATAGCATTCGCGCCCTTGAACTCTAAATTCGATGGCTCTATATAGACTTAATATACGTCGCCATCGTTTTTATTTACTCGTTACCTCGAAACCGAAAAATAAAGCATATACCCTTTGGCTTTGGAATTTCAAGATCGCGTTTATTTCTAAGACTCTAAAACCCGCTAATGTCTGCTAATCGCCTATGATCTCCCGGTTTTAAGACGATAAACGTTTTCTCCCTGGCTGTGAGATCCTGAGGGGATTCGGTATGACGGTGTACACGCATAGATGTACGTTAGTTTAAAGGTAAATCCGTCAAGTGGAGGGTGGATATACCTGGGTTTTATGTTCTAGATTGAGTTGTTTACGATTTTTTGCATGCCACGGCTTCGGGCAACGTTTTCAGTTAAGCTTCTTTTTTGAAATAGCAGCCATCAGGTCAAGACTGTCAGTTGAAGAATGTTTTTCGTAGCCTGCGGTCCAGGTGATTAGTAACATTTAAGGCACTGAGTTACCACTTACCAACATCACAATGGAAAACCGTTTAAAAGTTGACGTTATATAAACTGAATTCATGCAGTTCGCGTAATCTAGTCTGTTTTCTTCGATAAAACTCGCTTTGGTAAGCACATAAACAGCCCGTGAATGCATGTATGTTATATATATGATAATATAGAAAAACTCAATAAAATGTTGATAATGAAAATATTAGCGAAAACATGAAAGTCTTAAATATACTCATTTCTTACACCTATACATTTGAATTAATATCTTTCATAGAAGAAATAGTTTGGACTTTTGGTACAAATTCTGCGCCTGCCGAGAGGCTAAAAAATGTCAATGCATGGTTTTTTAAAAGCACTTTATGTAGCTATTGCTATATGATTTCATCACTGTGATAAAAACAAAAAAATGTTGCTAAAGAATTTTTAGCTGGAATGTCCAATAATGTGAAAAGTTATGTGAAAAATTCCCTCATAGAAAATGCACGCAATATAATCAAGTCACCGGAATTAACCTCGCCTAATATGCATGCAGGTCATAGCGTACGCGGACCTTTATTATATACATACATGCATTCATTCATTCAAACAAAGCGTATATGAAACAGGCACTCATGACTTGGCTTTCTCGAAACTATGATTTTCAGTTCCTCATTCTTTGGCATGGAGTAAAGCATATTTTTATCATGACAATATAGGTTACGCAGTTTGCATGCATGATTGTGAGCGGATACGAGCCACATCGCAACCGCGGATGTTTGAGTTCAGAGTAACTTTTGAAGTTTTGTACATTCCAAATATAAAGTCGAAGACAGCATATGATAATTGTCACGGGAGGGCATGAGGGCGCGCATGAGGCCTGATTCTGGTTCTCATATTTTATCTAGTTACAAAAAAAAAAGAGAATTGCTCGTCACGATATTAAATCTCTATATTGAGGGCGATTTACGGTCAAGAACACTGCTAAAATTAAGCTCAAGATGACGATCCATTTTATAATCATGACCATACGCTTGTTCAACTTCGTAAAACCCGTATTTAGCCACTGGGAAAACGACCACAGGAAAAAGGTTGACTCTCGTTAACTTCCTATAGTTCAAAACGTTGATCGCCAGACTAACATGAAGTGAATCAAATACTATAAACGTTTTTAAAATGGAGAATGTGCCACTGAATATATACATTTGTTTCGACTTCAACTATAGTGCAGTGTACACTCGTCAGGTTCAGGGAAATAAGATACTATTGCCAGTGGCAGTGTGCTTAATTGTAAACCGAGACTATAAGTTAGAGCTAAGGGAGGTCAATTTGGCGCGGGTCGCATGCATGCAGGTCCATGTAAAACTTGACTATACAACTGCTGCCCTTGATCGTTTGAAATAAAAGTATTATTCATGAATATTGCTTCGTTTACTATAGTTCTAAAAGGCCAGCTGATCGGCGCTCAGCTAAACGGTGCATATATATATGTAGCTAATGGTATATAACATTTTGTTAACTAACTGGGGCCGGTTGTTCGAAAGGCGTTTAGCTTAAACGGTGGATAAGCCAAAGTTTAAGAATACTCTCATACATCCTGTGAATGACTGAACCTGCATCTTATGCATTTAATATGCACTTCCATTGACAATTAAACCATTTACATCGAAATATTTCAGCTCAGTTGTTCAATAAATAGATAATTTTGTTTTCCATTTTTGACTTATCCACCGTTTAAGCTAAACGCCTTTCGAACAACCGCCCCCTGAATTAAATGTCCCATGTAAACATATATATGTGCATACATATAAGACTTCGACTCAAGTTGAAATTGGTTATTAGATGAACAGATATATAAACTAAATTCTGATACTTCTTTACTTTTACGACTTTCAATTTCAAACAACTGTCTCTTGATCAATAACCGAATTCGCCGTGATATATTTTGTATAGTTTTGTTATGAAATTAACTGCTATATATATGTAGCATTAGCATTCAGTTATAATATATAGCTGGCATCCGAAGCGATTATATATGTTCGATTGACTAACAATTTCATTCATATATAACCATGCAAACAATTCCTTTTGCCAATTCCCAAATTCCAGATGAAAATTACAGATATATTCGTTCATTTCTGTAAAGTAAACATCGGCATGATGTGGCGTGTAAGCTATCATCGACTTGCGAATATTTTCACAGAATGCTCGGCCTACACAAACATTACACCGTGTACTGTTTTGTTAATGTGTTTGTTTTTGACGAAATTACCAATTGGTAGTGTTGTTCATTTATACAAATTCAATCACTGCCCATCGTCGAGGTCAAAGATATATGAACGCCTGCCATTGACATAGCAACAGGGCTTTTTGTCCAACGCATGTTGGATTCGGAAAGACCCTGCCGCCAAAACTCGGCGAGGTCTAATAAAATCAGTGTGTAAACACAACAGGTGACGAAACGACCACAGCCAAAAACCAACAAAGATCTTTTCGTTAAAATTGATACAAATACTTCCATCGTATGTTTAACTAAGCGTATGTAGCTACACTTACGAATATTGGCCCGCAAACGCAGACAAGCGATTTTATTGCCAGTTACCCACCTTTGTTTTTAATTTAACTAAAAGGGATCGAAATAAAGAAGCATATATATTATATTATATGCATGTATACATGTTAGTGGTATACTTGTAGTGTGTCTTTGTGACGAGGCTTTCTTTGTTGCAAAGTTCCAACACATCTCGTTTTAAAAGAAAGATTAAACTACATTGTTAAAAAAATACAATTCGAGCATATGATGCTTCATAAAGTTACAACTAGCTAAGACTATCTAATAAATATATATAATACTATTAATAGCAATTCGCTTGCCACTCGGAAGTGAAGCTATTGTCAGACTGAACTGTATGAATTCATAAACCAAATGCTCCGAAATTCACTGTTATTCTGTGCTTCTCCGTATACAATTTTAAGGATCAAGTATACCTAAATATGGTCTTGATTCGTCAAGTACACTCCCGCGAACATTAAACTAGTTCACGAGCATAGTAAAATATAACATTCATCGTATATGTTGAATGTATATATATTTCAAACATGCATATTCCACCTTATGGCATATTCTCGCGTTCACTCAGTTGCCTTTAATTTTCGGCAGAAAGTGTGTTGAAAAAAGTTAATTTCATTGCGGTTTATCCGATCATAACATGACATCGGTATGCGGAACGACTTTTTAATAATCGACTAAATAAAATTGCTACTGCAAACATAGCCGCTCTATATACAAATACAATAATTGCACAAACAATTACTCATCGTAAAGTTATACTTATTTGCAACAGTTTCACATTCGATCGTTTCAATGGTCCTCCGCTTTTGTGCAATTGCAAATTTGGCACGAAACGACTTTGTGCTTGGACACACGCTTGTAATAAAAAGATAATATACATGTATGTATGTTTGAGTCATTGAGTGCATAACTGCATGAAAATTATAACTCTGATTTCTAAGACTTTATCACATAATTTTGCCCATATCGGCAAACTTTTCATTTAGGGTAAATTCGAATTGAAATCACACAGGTGTTTATTGCTAGAACTTACTAAGTCGTGACACCCCCATTTGCGACCCTTAGTGACCCAATAATGTTCACTTAGTATATGTCACATTGCACGAATAGTTTTTCCAAAAGGTTATTTTTAATCCTCGCAGCCTAGGACACAAGAGACTTGTTAATTAAACCTAGCTTTGAGCGCGTAATTGCTTTATCGCTTTCAAACGACGCGCGGCCTGAAATCTGCTAAAGACTCGTCCAATATCCCTACAAGTCATTTTCCTTCCTAAAATCATGATCTCGTCAAGGTAACGCGCTCGGAAACGTCAGCTCGACTCCCCGACAGTTTTCGACCTGACGATTGTTAAAACGCAGCACTGCAGCGATGGCCCTGCGTGCGATTGAGCAATTGATTGCTTGAATAATTTCTCACACTATTAGCGATCACGCGAGCCAATCAGATGCGCGCAGATATAATTACAGGCGCGCGGCTATTAAAATGCGCTGTTGTCCTTGACACGGCACAGTTGTGAGGTAACCTCATAAGTGGATACTGCTCGTTGTTACTCTTTCAGACATAAAGTGCCTTTACCACAACGCGGCAAGCAGAAGCCGAAATCAGCCAAACCAGCCAAGGCAGGAAAGCGCAGAGTGGGCGAGGTAGGAAACTCACTACCGCAACGTGTACACATTCTACCGGTTCGAGACCGAGTGGGTGTCTTTGATACTCGCTACATAAATCGAAGCACATAAACTCGTCAAATCAGTCATCAGCGTAACTTGGAAGCAGCGTTATCTCGTCTTCAGACCCACTTAAAAATCCCGTATCCTCATCATGGCAACGAATGGAAGGTCATCGCACAGACCGCGATTTCTTCACGCTCTATTGATAGCGGTTATCTGCGTGAGGTATGTCAAAAAATTTTCCTGTACAGATATATGAAGATATAACCCTAGCCTTTCGGATCTGTCAGAGGAAAAACAGTCAGCGAATTGTTTTCAAATTTCGGTTACATTCATTAAGCGCTCTGCACGCGTCCTATCAATTCTAAGGGTAAAACCGCCCCCTAAAATTCAAATGAAACAATTTGTTTTACTTTGATGATTAATTGCTATGCTAAAACGCTAAATGTTCTCAAATATTATTTCGTGAATATTGCTTTTGCTATATGTTGCGATTAGAGCTTTATATATGTACAAATATATTGGTACATGGCTGTTTTGAACAAGTATGTTGTTGACATAACGCATGTTTATCAAATCCCTTTCATGTCACGAAAATAAATATGTCTTACCTCGCGTCTAAATCCCATTAATAACTTGATATAAGCCCAGTTGACCTTTACTGTACGAATTCTTACGTTTCCGAAAAAAATGGGAGGATTGTTTTTTCGCGCACCATACGTGTGTGCTGGCAAGATTGATGCGAATCCTATGAAGATAAATATTCTCGCGAATTTTATAAAATATACAATTTTTGTTACGTGTATTGAATCTTCAGTCAATTTTAATAAATTTACAGTGCAACTTTCCGCCGGTACTTAAAAATGAATAAAATCGTTTAACGTTGAACAGACACGCGGGCTCCAATCTCGTCTGCCCAAGCCTATGTGCTAATAGTCAGGCAGCCTTGTAATAAGCAAGGCCGCTTAATAAGAGAATATTGAACTGATTCCAGAGTTCCTTATAATTTTACCTTGTGGCCAAAACAATTTTGTATCGTTTGTATATATTACAGTGAAACAGTCTGGCATTTCACCTAGGGTAACACCAGAATACTTCCTATCTTTATGGTGTATTTTGACGGACATTTTATACATGGATAATTAACTTTCTCTTTGGCGGTATCGCGAAGTACTATATAGCTATAATAATATTAGTCCTACTCTAATATTTGTTTAACATCTTCATTTAATCAAGCGCTTATAATCTCCACACAGGAACAAGCAGTATTTTTATTGCACAAAATGGGTGTTGTATATTTTCACCAGTCAAACCGCATTGAGAGGATACGTCTGAAAGATGTTTAGCACCAATGCATCATGCATGAAAGATTGCACGCTTGCATCTCCGGCGATTCCTTGTATTTGCAAGCAGATAATCCCACAATCATATTCTCGTAATCCTGACAAGCCTTCCACCCTGACTGTATCCTATTGTTTTTCTTGCTTACAGCGTGTTTTACGTTAGTGATGGAAACAAAACGACCAGAAAGCGCAGTAGAACCAGAAATGCGCATATCCGAAGGTATTGCAGGGTCATGTCTTGGTTCGACAAGCGACAGCGAAGCATTTGCATGAGATCGCCAGATATGATAAAAATAGTCGAGAGAGGTGTACGAAATGCACTGACGGAGTGCAGAAAAAGGTTCAAAGATTATCGCTGGAATTGCTCGCCCTTAACTTGGAACCAAGTCTTCGAAGAAAGTGGAATTCTCAAGAGGCGTAAGTTGTTGATAATGTTGTATGATCTAAGCGTATGCATCTCGAATTGTATTGAGTTTTAAACGTCCCTTTGACTTCGATCGTATTTCAAGTGTCAGCTGTAAGATTAGCGTCGGAAGCGGTGCGATAACAATATGTAATCTTTAACATCAGAATCGTGTTCATATTGACATAGATTGAGCGAAGAATCCACGTACGTCGTTACAGAGACGTAACGGGCGCCTTGACTCGAGTAATAATGGCTTAATTAAAACATCGCAGGCCTCAAGGACAGATAATTACAGTACTTTAACTCCTTGAGACCACAGTCTGCATATTTAATGGTTTGTATACCCTTTCAGCCGTTTATTTTGATTGAGAAATTCACTCCGCTGAAACGTATCGTTGACAAGGGCACATCATTATTTGCTATATGAAATGAACGAAACTGTTTTACGAAGAAACTCAACACTTCGATTCAGATATAAACGAAACGCGACATGACATTTTGACTCATTTGAAGGGAAAACGCTTCCCAGAGTGTTGTTACCAATAGCGACCAGGATATTTCAGACTAGGCAACTCAGTTCACGTTTGAAATGGCAAATTTGATAGGACGCTTCTGTTCAGCAATAAACGTTATAATACCCTAAAGGGTTTTTTGTATATAAAATGTTTCTCTGCACTTTTCATACATCGTAAATCTACAATTACATTACGAGAAGCTCTTATGTTTGAAAACGGCGGGTATATTAGCAAAAATTCTGCGACATATTTCAATCATAAGGCGCAAGGTGGTCGACTCGGGAATATTAAAAACAGAGAAAGCAGCGTGAATGTTATTAAAAAATGTGTCATCGCAATGTGTTTTTTTATGGATAACAAAGCGGTTCTGTGTTGTGTCACGATGTAAAGTGGACTGTGCACAGTGAAGTAGACTATTTAGCTACGCATTTTTTTAAGCAAGTTTCGAATATTAGAAAAAATCTCGACGTCCTTTTCGAAGGGCAAAATGCTCTATAAACTACAAAGCAAGAATATTTGACCTCTCTTTAATCCGAACAAATAACGCACACTTATAGGCCAAGACGATCCTGATCAAAAATAGATAAAGCTCTATGACAAGATGAAGTGCATGCCCGTCTGATTTGAATATACTATTACAGATATACTTCAAAGTATGCAACCAATGTTGTGCTTTCAACAGTGCTAAGCAATGCTGTCTTCGTCTTTCATTCCTCTACCCCTTTAACTTTGCTGTCTGTCAGCAAACGGATCGTTCGACGGATCGGTCATTTTCAACAAGTGCGCGCGCACATGCCAACGTTTTAGCTGATCGACGTATAGCAATGTCATGAATGTTGACGCGGAATTCTCATATTGGAAGCCTATTTGAAGCTTTTTGTGTTCCGTGTAAACCACGCGATAAGCCCCAGCAGGTACTTCAGCTGAATAAACGCTAATGCCCGCGATGAGGAAACAGGTTATTACGCTATCGTTTTGTAATCATCTTATTCAATTATCTCATATTGCCAGCCAAAGCCCCGAGGTTTCAACGACTCAATTAACCAATTAAAAGTACTCGAGCAATCCTCGACCTGCGGGCCAGGGTGAAGAAACACAGTACACAAACAATTCGGTTTCGATTTCAGTCACGTTAGGCAAAAACACCTTGTTCTATAATTCGCATGGTGTGACCAATTTTTCTGCACGGTATAACGTTTACTTGCCCGAAAAATTTCAGAATTTCTCACATAAAATAGTAAAATCTATCGCAATTTCGAAACACTTAATGAACTGCGTGGTTCATGGAAACTGTTGCACTTCGATAGCAAAATTGATACATTTGAATGATTTAAACTAACTCTTGTTGCATGATACATTTAACATGTCAATACTCATGCCAATATGATATCATTCAAGTCTGGAGCACGCAATAATTTATTACAGGGTGACAAAACGCGTGTGGGCAATACCACTCGTGGTATTTTTAATTAATATTTAAATGCAGGACAAATGGTAAATGGAATTTGAAATTCAGGCTATTTTTACTGCACAAAAGCATGCGATGAAATCTATAACCACGAACTTCGCTAGAATTTAAGCCATATCTTATTCCACATTACTCGGTCGAGTGTTTAAAATATGCCTGATATTATATAAATGCAAAAATATGTCGGATAAATAACACGTCAACCAGATATTGTCTAGTTATGACAGATTGGTTTCCCAAATTCAATCAAATTGTTGTTTGTGAAGATGGCGTTAAATTTGGATGCAAAATTGTCCGATCCCCCGTGGCGAACTCACGCTAGGTTCCCCAAATAAAACTTTTACACACAATTAAGATTCCCTTCCGTTCAGTCTTCTTTGGGAGTTTCACTAAATATAGCTGAACAATCTATAGAAAGCGCTATATTATTGCTGTTTGGTCTGATCAGTTGTGTCACAGATCCTGCGTCCAGCCGAGTGAAAATAATGCCCTTCCTCCATCGTGTTTTTGTTACATCGCGGGGAATTTTTGGATGAGTTTTAAGATTCGATTGACAAAAATTAGATTCGTGTGAGGCTTTCGATTTGAAACAGTGGGAAAGTTTGAGTTGGTGGGAAAGTTTGCGAAACCTCGCACCTCATACATCATTTTGATGGGAATCATGTCGCATGTCATATAATGGTGCATGGTGTTATATATTAACACCGTATAAAACAATATAATTGCGGCAACCATGCACTGCATAGCATTCAAGTACATGTGATACAATCACATTCAAGTCGGGATAATCAAGTTTCAAAATGCTTGCTGTTTTTTCGAAGTTTCTAGACTATTTTGCATTTGTTAAACACACTGTTGAATGACTTTGACACAATCATACGAGTGATGTAGTTATAAATCATACACTTTCTTAATGGTTAATCTAATTCTATTTTGAAGATATATATTGAACCTTTTAATGCCATATTTGGATCAAAACTGGGATCAAAATATAGCACAACTGCCATTGAATTAACCCGCTGAAAATAAAAAAAGTCCTCGCATGTGCATGCACTCTTTTATTAAGTTAAATTTGCATGAACATTCACTAGATCGCCTACATGGCTGTACATTTAATGAGAAATTAATGAATGTAATTAGTTTTAATTGATCACTCGTTTATCTAAAGCGGTGCACCTTCTGGCTATATCGCCAGCACGTATAGAAATTGTGCTCCGTTTTAAATTCATAATCAGCTTATAATGTCTGCTCATGTGTAGAATTCAAGGCATAAAAATGGCTTAATAATGATTCATTTCTTCACATCATTCATACTCAAGTAAATTGTGTACATTTTATAAGCAGCTTATATAAAGAACGTCTAGCAGCTAGTTGTTTGTAAAGTTGAAAGCATCGTGCAATATGCATTGTAAAATTTCTGAACTACGGAAGGATGTATGGCTAAGTGAACACGACTGAACGGAAATGTACTCTCAGTCGAGAAGTAGCGTTGATAAAAAGTGCGAAGTACTTATACAAAACGATACAAACGCCTTTTGTTGTTTTGAATTTTGGAATGTCGGTTTTATATAGTTTCGAGTGTTTAAATAAAAATGATTCTAAATTCAAATTTTTCTCTCTTTTCTCTTTCACACTACAAAATAAAAGTATATCGTTTGTTTTTTGGTTTGATGAACATTTTTCGAATAGGTTTGGAGAAAAAGTTCTTATCGCTTAATTTGGCCTCGTAGTGATTTGAGGATTCTTCTTATCAATACTAAAAAATTAATAAAAAAGTAATATCCGACTATTGAACTCTACACAAATAGGATTTCCCATCTTTATGTCTATATAATCCGTTTTAGTTTGTCTTTTGCTGTAAACGATTTTCAGTTGCTAAGATGAATAAAAATATATTTACATGCAGTTTGAATAATGTATATATAGAAACGGAATATTACATGCTCTCTACAAAATTAGAAATCCATATTCGACCACATGCATACCCACTCGGAAAATTGGTATAAAATTATCCGAATATAAAACACTTCCCTTTGCATGTGGTGTAGATAAGGTAAACAGAGACAATGTTTGTGGTTGTACAAATGATTGTTACGCTTTTTCAATAGTACGGAAACGTAATACATCATCGACGTCTTGTGGCGGACATAATTTGAAGGCAATGAGATTTTTCTTTTATTTTCTGACATTATCTCTCGTGCTTAGATACTTAGCCATATTCAAAGTGTCGAAATTGAGCGAATAGCCAACACCGGTTACTACATTGTTTCAATCAAGTATAACGGAATTCCAATTTCCGTCCTTTTGTGATGAAAACATTGACCCTGGAGACCCCTGTGAGGTAAAAACACTGGATCTCAAGTGCCTAGCCATAAGAAACTCTAAAAATAATACGATCCAATATGAAAAACAAATTGATAATTAAGTTGGAATATCTCTTCCGATTTCTTAAGAATAATCTATACATGCTTGGTGTTCAAGTATGGAGTCTCTTTTAAACGTTTGCACATGCAGTGCAACTAATATTGTTAAAAGCTTCGTTTGATCAACCCCTAGACGACGTTTCGAGTTGCGACAATTACAATGCATCGCATTCATATTAATTTTGTGCTTAATGAGAATTTTCTAAAAATAATTGCGATAGAGAATCTTTTAACATAATTATAAACACAAACTAATATATAAAGCAATGCCTTTGATATTTTAATACCTACTGAAGTTTTTAAAACACGGCAAAACACGTTCCGTCCTTATTCGCGTGTCGGGGCTTAAGAGTCCAATATATCAAGAATATAAAATTAATGATTTCAAGTGTATACAAATTAAGTGTACCTTAATGATTTGTACATTTAACGAAACATCTTGTTTTCATTTAATTGCTCCGTAAATTACCGTCATATCATCGTAATACATCCCGTCTAATTTGGCTGTATAGATCGTTATATGTCTGAGGATGAACGTGCACGACTGCATATTTCAAACAAACATTCGCATCAGTCTATCTTCGTATTTTCCCTTAGGCTTATCTGAGCTGCAAATCGACTTTATACTTATTACAAATTAAGCTTTTATTTTCACAATTACAAATTACGCTTTGATGTTAACAATATACATCTTTGTTGCTTCAAATTCAGTACTCATTACGCCTTTCATTTTTCTTACCAAAACATGGACGGAGAGAACTTGCGAGGTGTTTTATAATGTAAACAAATCTGGTATTGATGCACCTTTGCCTATATTCTCTGAGTTTGTTTTCTAAAAATACACGCCATCACGAAAATGGCCCATGGTGGTCAAATCAACAACAGCACGGGCAATTGTCGTGGCAACAATCGCTGCGTAACGGTTCTTAATTAACGCACAGCTCCTACATTTAATAAAACAAAACCGACATTTTTCCCGACACAAAATGCGCAGTTTCGATCCTAAGTGCTAATAGCTTCACTGTTCTGGTATTCAAACATGCTCGACTTAAATATGCCGCTCTCTGCACGTCTTTGAAAAGAAGACTGTTTTTCCAACGGAGAAAATAACATGTTGTTTTAGTCCTGCTATTGTGGCATAAATTCGAGGGTTTTCCAAGTATTCAGATAACAAACCATTGGCAGAGTGTTTCTTTTTGCCCCCGCCTAAACTTTCACTGTCTTGTTTGCAAGTATGCACTGGTATACACTAGTACAAAAGTCATATTTCCTGAGAGAAATTAGTCATAATGAGGAGAGTTTAAATTCATTTTAGTTAGACCTTCGAGCAACTTGATCACGATATTTTTTCTCCAACTCAGTCCAGCTGAAACGCATGACTGTGCATGGTGTTTTCCAGAAGAATCGACGACACTATTAAATTGAGGGCGTTATTTTGTGCGATGTTTTAAAAACAACAAAGACCTTATTGAACGATGAATAAAATAATTTCACTCAAACCTTTAATTTATAGCAAACCAATTCACTTTCATGGTCATCGATAAATGTTACGGGTTCTCGAACCACGACTGAATAAAGTATAGTCTAGGCCTTATATATACCCATAGCATGTAGTGTACGTACTTATAGTTTCTTACACACTCTTTTTTTTAATTAATAAATCCACTGTCTCTCACGCACTCACTCGATGATAATTGGTTTATAAGATAATATGGTGGCCGATTCTGAAGCACAATGTGTATCTACGTTGGTAATCATGCAATTCAAAATGAAGAATACGCCGACGGGTCTTAACTAAATTAGGGATACTGCATGATTGCATAAGTGTTCCAAATAGATATTTTTATGGTCTTAAAGTTCTCCAATTAAGGCAACAGTTCCATGATCATCTATCTTGCATTCCAACTTCACTCTCTTGAATTAGCCTTTTTGAGGTTGTTATAATGTCTGTTTCATTAATGCGCGATCAAAGAGTCACTTAACCACGACTTAGTAATTTTTCCATCAACAATTTTACTAATTGCCGAACCATTGACGTAAATACACGATTGGTTTTCAGATGTTTACAAAATCCTCATTCTTCACATCAATGCATGCTTGGAGGTCACTTTATGACACTCACAATGTGAATGCAATATTTTCATGAGAAAATTGTGTATATCCAGCGATTTAATTACATTTAAACCATCACAACCAATGCAACCTCGTTTAATTAAAATCAAATTTCATTCGCTTATATCTGATTATATCCTTTTAAATACTGATTTTGTGATATGGCCTTATATATACAAATCTATTTGGCGTTCGATTAAAGCATTGATAAAATAGATACACGAGGTGAATTAATTTATCACAAATCAAAAAGATTACATCTTTTGCACACATACTCCTCGTTGGTATCAATCGATAGCTTATGAATAAGGGTTTAATTGCATTGCAATATAACCAGCATGAAGCCACTCAGCATTGTATATCTTGCCAATATTAACATTTCACTTTTTTCGCTTTTTACTCACAAGCTAAATCAAATTTGGGTAATTTTGAGGAAAGTTTGCATGCAAGTATATGCAATTTGATCGCTCGTTGAGAGCGAAGGGCTTGTTAGTTTATTACCATCGTTTTACTTAATTACTTAAAGGCCCCTAAATATCGTGTCGCGCATTCCATAAACACACACAGATCACTTTCGTCACGATAATTTGACAGCTAAATCAACTAAGTGCTCGCGCGAAATATGCTAACGACGCCGAGTACCCTCTAATCGCGATGAGACACGACCTACACGTCTTCGCACGTCTCCACGTCTCTTCATATGGTTCAAAAGATGCGCTTTTTATTTTGGACATCACTCAGTATGCGCTAACTAGCACCATGACACACTATACACTGTGAACGGACATGCACGCTAATTTTGGCAACGTATCCCATGTTGAACAAAACGATACCGATCCAACTGAATGAATATAATCACGCGGAATACCTCTCTCTCTATATATATCAAATCTACACCAAATAACAAAAGTTTACCGTGTAAAATAGGATGAACTTTCTCTCGAAGCATACTGTGGTGGAAAAATTCAGCTAAAGTAATAAATAATATACGGTTCCTGGAGTATCTTAGATAATGCTGTTGTTCTTCATGCACATGTAGAACTTTATATAGCAATACTATGTCACATTTGCATCGTGATAATTTGCTTCATAAAGAGGGTTACATGAAGTTCTCCAACGGTTTTATCGAGCTTAGCTCTCCGTAAGGTTATCAAATGTGTCAGACATTTATTTCACTAATGAAATTCCATGTGGCTTATCCTTGAGGTTAATAAATCGACGTAGCGCCGTCGAGCTGCCGCGTCGTAGATCCTAAAGTTTTATAAATGCCGGGAAAGACGAGACGCTTGACCTTGCAATATATTGCTGAAAACAATGGCGCCGTAGTCTGAGAGATTTATGTCTAATTCAACGAAAAATTCAATGATTTGAAGCACGTTTGGCTAATCGGTATTTTCAAAAATAACTAATTTACAATAAAATGGATGAAGAATTTCAAAAATCTCAACGCTTAATTGACTCGTGAGGTTAGTTTGCAATCGGCTCCTTTCAGCCATCAAGCGACCGTTTTATTTACTTTTGATATATTTAGGTGAATAAGATAACTTCATTCAGTTCGCATTCAGTTGAACAGCTATGCCTTAAGGCGGTGCAAAATTAAATAAGGATGCTGAATTCATTCTAATGAGCGATGTACATTTTTCTCACAATCATTTAAAAGCACAAAACATCCCATAGATGCTACAATAAGGGGGTTATCTACCCCACAGACGAATACATTTCGATCAAACTTAATCGACGCCATTTTGGCATTTAAACTCTTGCAGTTTTGGCGTAATCTTGACACTTTCGTGACAAACAGTTTTATATTCATTGCAAAATTCAATATAAATTTCTGGCAGATGTCACTTATTGGGAAATTCGTGTGATCATTCCTTCTGATCTATAATCAGACTGATGAGTGTACTGTATTGCTACGTTTTGCATGAACCAGGTGGCCCTATAGAGAGTAATTGTTTTCCTTGTTTCCTAATCTTGAAATTCCAAGCGTCGCCATTCAATGTTGCGCGAAAGTGCTGTACTAAACCACAAAGAACACAGCCCTTGTTGCATATTCCACGATTTTCGTCGTTGGGACGATGCAAACAAATATATTTTAGTTATGGTTAGTTTGGTTGTTTTCCCCCCGATTTTAGAGCAAATTGTACCGCATCAAAAATGTAGCAAATGTTCTTGTTCCATATAGTTTTACATATAATCATTGTGTGTTTACGGGAAGGCAATACAATCGATATATTATATACTGGTATAAAGGTTTTTGGACCCACTTGGACAATATATCGATACACTCGTGCTCATTTAGTGCAAAATCGCAAGCGAACAGAGTCTGAGGTCCCTTTATAAATAATAATAGACGATTTTAAAGGCGCCCTTTCCAGCCGCGTTCTACTGCTTTCCAGATCACCGCAATCTTTTTCGACGAGTTTATTACTATATAGGAAAGAATTATTGTCCTATGAACTTTATTCACGAGCATGCTTTGTACGCTACTTCCCTACATTAACAACTTCCCTACATTAACAACCGTTTATGTTTCCTTAGGTTCTCGAGAGACGGCGTTCGTGCAAGCCCTTACATCAGCAAGCGTTATGGTAGAAGTCGCCAAGGCGTGCGCGACACAGAACTACAAACACTGCGGCTGTGGAAACCGCCCAAAGCATTCGCGTCGCAAAATGAACAGGGCAAGCCAATCGTTCTCCTGGGGTGGCTGCCCGGATAATATGCAATACGGTACACATTTCACGAAACGTTTTATGGACCCAAAGAAGATTAACAACCACGCTAGAAAGACCAAGAGTCATAACCAGGAAGTTGGAAGAAAGGTATGTTCGAGCTGAGACATTGTAACTTGATCAGTGTAATAGGTCATCAGTTGCCGCAGCTGCACTGTTTAAATGCAACGTTAAAACGGATAGCCAGCTAAGTTGTTATTGCGATGACCTGTTTATAATTTCCCAGGATTTTGTTTATCCGTGCATTTGGCATAGCCAAACCTTTCAAAAAACCGCGAAATGGTTCAAGGCCATAATTTTCGATCCTTGATTGCAATTCCACATGTTCCGTACGATAACAAGGCGATTAATGCCGGATATCACAACTTTTGAGGGGTTTTCCCTCTATCCGTACCGAGCATGACTTTGCCAAACTTGCAATCAGACAACGCCCTTGTTTCCTCTCTAATGTGTGAAATGCGGTTTGTGGTCGCAAAGTCACCTTTGAAATCCACCCCCCTCGCCGAGCACGCGACACTAGGCCGCATCCCTAATGCCATTTTGTCTAGGAATACGGCCAACAATCCGAAAGTTCATTAAGTAAAAGCGTGAAATTTTTTAAATAACAATTATTACAATCCATCAAGGTGAATACCAGTGTGGAAAAAAATGAAAAATGCAGTACGATGGTCGATGTAGTATAATCAATAGTAATAGTTTACTTCAGTATAAGCAAGTTTCAAAAAATGCAACACCATAAATGTTCGGCAATTGTTCTTTTGTTAATTGTTTTGTAATCCTCTGAGAAATATTGGCAAGGAAAAACATCGTATCCAGAATTTCGCTCGGATTAATTATGATTATACCTTAATTTGGCCTTATGTTACCACGCATGTGTTTGAAATTGAACAATAACTACCCAGATATTAGTCTGCTTCATGTTTCGATACGGGTTTTGGAAGTGGAAAGACATGCGGAATGGTCGTATAGTGCATGTAATGCCCTATCGCGAGTTTCTCGTCATAAAGGCACGGCGGTCATAATATGATAGTCTTTGTACTCTTCAGGAAATACAAATTCGAGTTCGTACTCTCCTATTTGGCTCGATAGCTACATTCCAGTGGAGCATCAGACAGATATTGAACACCTATTTAAGGCCGTTTAAATTCTAATTAGAAATGTTTTTTACATTTCCTTTCTCCTTCTATAGTCTTGAAAACTTAACCAAATTGATATCTTTTTTATTAGATTGTTCGTCAGCTCAAGACGGTAAAATGCAAGTGTCATGGCAAATCAGACCAGTGCACGCACAAAACGTGTTGGCATGTCGCTCCCGACGTTGAAAAAGTCGGCGAACAAATTTGGCAACTCTACAAAAATTCGATCAGGTCGCAGTGGAACAAGACCACGAACGTCCTGTACGATAAAGACCGCTCGAGGCGGGAAAAAGGCCAGGAAAAATTGGATAAAAAGCTCACGTATTTCGCTCAGTCCGAGAACTTTTGCGTGCAAAACCTCCCGATGGGCATCATGGGAACATACGGCCGAACATGCAACAGTACGTCGCTAGGCAACGACGGTTGTGACACGATGTGTTGCGGGCGAACCTACAAGAGGACTATGGTTACCAAGACGGTAAAATGTAACTGCCAATTTGTTTGGTGCTGCAGAGTAGATTGTGAGTTATGCAATAAGACGGAGGTTTTAGAAACCTGTCTGTAAATGATGGACATCAGTGGATATTTATTGACTCGGCATTAACTTACGGAAATGAGTGTGAGCAAGGAGTGTTTGTTCTGTTGTACTGCTGCAAAACACTTTGCGAAATTGGGAAGATTTTACTACGTTCATGTCGAGAAGACTTTTTTTATTCGAGTAATTAACGATATTTATAGATTATCCATCCATAAAAGACTGCACTGGGCCCTAATGCACAACATCACATGTTTGAATCGGTCTAATTGCGGTTTTCCACAAGATTTCAACGAAATTTTTCGCTCGATTTTCAGTTCAATTGTGACCGATGAAGGGAATCCGCTACGGTTGAATTCTCACAAATGAAAAGAATATCAGACGACCGAAAAATTCCGCCCAGTGGAAAACCGCCTTAAGGTCCAATTGCTTCCCGTATTTAGCACCCCCCACCACCACCAATGTTTTAGACAGAGATTTTAAATTGAAATTTATAATCTTATGAGAATCGATTTTTTTGGAGTTGCCCAAAGAAAACGTGGTCCCAGCTTTTCATATTAAATACATTATTCAATTCATCCTAGTGCAGTCAGAGACCTCATCATAGACTTACGATGAAATCAAATTGACTTATTTCATTTGAACAACATGAACAACTATATGTATCAAAATGTCACTAAGCTGTTTCAGCACCTAATAATCACCATCGTTGAAAACAATTACGGTTTATCTACTCACAGCCATGCGGCCATGAGAAAAATATAGTAAGATTATGTAAAAAGGCTATATCAGCTTAATATGTATGTTTATATTATGCTAAGACTAAGTATGTTATTAAATGTAATATTTATTTATTATCATTAATTATAATAAAATATATACAGGTATTGATTGTTCAAAAACGGTATTCGCTGCTCTATATTCATTGTGCAAGTGTCGAAAAATTTAGCAGGATTTTAAACAGGGTGCAATTAGGATTAAGGGAAAAGAGTATTTGGAGAAGAGAAATATTTCATTTCATAAATCATGTTTTAACCCAGGAAACACTAGATTGACATACCTTATTCAAAATGTTTTATGATGAAGCGTTTATAATACAATAAGTTCAGAGATAGTTGCAGAAATAGTGTTTGAACCCGTTCACACAAAGGCATCGGATAAAAACATCAGGCTCATAACGTGATATTCAGACTCACTCTTTCAGTCTCACTCCCTCGCCCCCCCCCCCTGCGAATTGCGAATAAAACTATAAAAGCTCTAAAACCAGGTGTTCTTAAAAAACAATGAGAAAAAATGCAAGCGCATATTGTTTTCACGCTGATCCATATAATCCCGATAACATGAAGTACATACCTTCATCAAATAAATTCCCTTATTCTCTCCCTTCTTTTGCATTTGAGTCCAATCCTTTGAACACTAGATCGATATTTTGCGCAATATTTTGTTCAATGAACTTTAAGCTCTCTTGATGATCATCAGATCTGTAGCTCCTGATGGACAAATTCATTGTAGAGCCTGACAAAATAGATTTAATATTCATATTTGTCTGCATTACTGCTTCTCAATTAAATTGACCACATCATCCGCATGGTTAACTAGTGAGTCGCATGTTGTCGCTGACCCAGAGTCGCATGTTGAATCTAGAAAGCTTGAGTGGAGCTATAATGTACAACAGTATAAAACAATATTGAAACAATCAGATATTATGGACACTTACTGCAAATCCTCAGTACAATTTACAAGTCAGAGACTCACAGCAAGCCTCAAATCTGACCATTCATAATTTTATACAGATTTCGTCGAATGGTCCTACATTCAACGAAGTATATTTTGTAATTACCCGCCAATTTTACCGGCCATCATACCAACATGCGCCTACAGTTTAGATTTAAAGCTTGTATGTGAGCCGTTACTTGATGTTAGCTGTACACAAAGTCGCAGTGAAAAAACAGTTGGGTGATGTAGGAATTTGAAGACATGCATCATAGTAGGGGACTGGTAGCAGCATAAAATGAGAGAAAACCAAACGATCAGCGTCTTGAAACCCAGTAGGTGGCTTGAAACAAAAACAGAATGAAATTTATTTTAAAATATTACAAAATATTACATAGTTTTGTTTTTAATAGTACAGTTAAAAATGTGAACACGCTGTGTGATATCATAAGATAGAGAAATGTTTGCATATAAAACAAAGATAAGCATTTCAAGACAATCGTTTTCGAAATTCTGCCAAACATGTTACATATACATTAAAATTATCACTCCAGTATACTGAATTCCCTTCCAAAAAATATTTTGCAAATCTCTATTGTTACATGGACACTTCGTGTATTTGTTTGGCATATTTGCATACCGCGTTCTATATACAAAATACATGTCTGGCAAAACTTTGCCTTTTTAGAAAGAAATATTTGATATCACACAGTTTACTTTCTGGGATTCCTGAACATTGCTCCATGACCGGGTACAATATAGTCAGCTATACCAAGAATCTTTTCACGATTATCTCTCTGCAATTCCTCGTGCTCGCTATACGCCTTCCACAAGTCCTCTCGTGCAAGGTCTGCTGCTTTTTCAAATAGATCGCCCGTGATGGCCACTGTGCCATGTCGAGTGTTCTTCACAATTACACTAACATCACTGTCCGTATGCCCTGGAGTTGGCCATACTTCCACATCTAAAGAGTTAGCATTATAGGAATAACTGACATGATAATCTAAAATGATTATCGCGTTATTCAATTATAAATTCATCAAAGTATATAGAAAGGTTTCTAAATTACACATTCGTACGAGTTATTATAAGTATTAAGTAATCTAATCGAAATAGCCATAAAAAACAATAATATTGGCAAGTACCTAAGCAATATTGGCGAATAACTAATTAATATCATTTATTATTTAACAGCCTTAATGAATCAATCTTACCCTCATGAATTTTATATACAACGCCATGTTTAAATTGGTGAACAATATACTGATCTTTCTTTGATACATCATAGGAAACAATGAATGTTGCATCCGGGAATAGATTCAAGTTTCCCACGTGATCGGAGTGACCATGCGTACAAACAACGAAATCAATTTCCTCCGGAGGCAAATGGCCCTTTTCGTCCAGTGCCCTAAATGACATTTTATATCCCAGCTTAAAACGTGAAGAGAATGAAATATATGTTAGAAATATTCACGTCAAAAAGGCAACGTTCATTTCTGTGAAGAACCTTTTTTGTTAACTGATCGTTTTTTCTTCATATAATTAAAAAATCCCATCAACTGCGCTTGTCTTACTTCAAAAGTTTGTCTTTCTCAGAGGGATTTCCAGTGTCTACAATAACATTCTTCGGTCCTTTAACTAGAGTGCTTGAACCGGTAGCACGTTGCTCTCCTGGACCACTGTTCTCTGAATAACCTTTGATCAGCGAGATGATTTCAAAATTAAAGGCACCACCTTCCTGACATACATCTTGTCGAAAAAGTGCGGCGGGTAGATTGCCTGTGGATTATGAAAGAAAAGTATATGCAAAATATTCATGCAAAATATGTTCACGAGTTATGCATGCAAAATATTCAACTTTAAGGTGGTCCGATACCAAAATTTTTTTTCTTTAATTTAATTTGAAAAATATAAAAATCTTTTCATGCCATATTGCAAGTCAAGTTGCTTTGAGTGAAAAAAAATTGTAAGAATCTTCAATCACTATAGTTACCCAGACCAGACACACCCAATGGTGGAAAATAGACGAATTTTGTAAACACGATAGCTAACTAGATTTTAACTCTAAAACGACAGAATTGGCTTTATTTAGTTCTAAATATTTTTGAATCGGTAAATATTCAGGATCGCTTAGGGATACATTTAAGTTTGCTTTCCTTGAAATTTTTATAACTGAATAAATCATGATCTTTTTGTATTGGACCACCTTAAATCCATTTGTGCAGTCCTTTAAAAGCACAAATCGGCAGTTCCCAATTAACCTTATGATATGTAGTTTTCGTTGTTGATACACCGCAGAAATGCTATCATCGGACAAGCATATGAAATTATAATATAATTACATAAATAGTTATAATACACAATATATTATACAACTGCAGCTCATGCTATTAATAACCTATGTAGCTAATTATACATAGCTAAGTGAATTTTCTTTTGAACAATGACATCAAACATTACTTTCGCGGATATACATTTTCAAGGCATTTTCTCACGTTTTATTTTACTGGCCAATTGAACAAACAAAATATACTTTATAACGAGATGGGGCCAATATCAAATTAATGTTTCAAGGGTAACATTTCGAGGAGCTAAAATGCTAAATTAAGCTCAGTACTATAATTTTATAAAGCTATACTTATATAAATTTACTTACTCTCCCACTTTACTGGGTTTTGAAGTCCATGCAAAGTGAAGGATTTAGAGGTTCTCTTTATGATATTATACTCTTTTTTTTCTTATATATTTGATATTTGACTGCACAATACAAACAGGATATAGCTATCCCTTTATACATGCATATGCATATATGAAAAGCATCTTACTATACCGTCCCCACTAAGTTCTATATATAGATCTGCCGTCTGCAGTCAGTTTACTATATAGCTTGAATCGTTCATCAAGTTCACGACAGTGCCAACTATATTAATATTAAATGTGATACTAAATAAATCAATTGATCTCTATCGATATATATCTCGTTTTTGTTTGACGTTTGACATCAATATTTAGAACGAATATATACAGACCTTTGTCTTGCATACAATGTAAAATACACGATTTTCCTGGGCTATTTTGGTTTGTTTCACATGTTATTTGGCCGTATGTGTACAGTATTTTGCGCAGTAATATTGCAGTATCAAGGTCAAAATCGATAGTATCGATAATTTGGGCAGTTTGAGGCAAATTGTTGTAGATATCTTCTCACAATTTTCAATGAGCATATATAATAAAGGCCTTGTTTATATTTACTCATGCAATCGTACAGGCGATTATTTGTGGTTTCATTCTTATATAACGCTTTCAAAGTTCAACTAAACATATATAGATTAAAGGGTTTGAAAGTCTAGTACTTGCAGGCTTGTTGTAAAGTTAAAATCGTTGAAAGTTTTAAAAGTCAAATACCGTTTACGAACGCAATATACAATAGTCAATACGTGTTATACTTGTTTTCTCAACAAACCCGGCAAAATTTCAAGTCAAGATATCGAAATGTAAACTTTTGCTTTAGTTTAGGCAAAGTTATATACTAATATAAACTGTGGTTTATATAAATACATAAACGGTTAGAGCAAATGCACATTCTGCACATCGCATACCTATATGCATGTTATTTACGAAAGGTAGCTATAATTAAATATTCTTTGACTTTGAAGAGTCGTTGTAGATTTGAATTCAAATTTATATAATAGCCTTTCTTTGTATATATATTCAGGTCGGGTAGTAGCTACCAAAACGGCGTAGATATAGCGATTATATTAGGCCTATCTTGCATTTCTTGCATGCAAATTGCGTATATCGGAGGTTACGAACTGATCTGTAGTGCATGAGAGCGTCTTTATCATATAAAAACGGCTAAGAATTCATACAAGTTTCATACATCATTCATACAATTACAATTTTAAAAATTTTCAATAAATCTTATAGTCAAATATACGCTTTATTCCATCAAAAAAAGTCAAGACTTCAAGTCCAAGATGAAATCAATTGCTTTACTTTATTTAACCACAGTATAGATGAACTTAACCCTTTAGTGCACGAGGCATTTCCGCTGCATTGATTTTAATGAAAATTGGTGAAAGTGCTACCTTAACAACTAATTTTTGAATAGTAATTTTTTTTTTGAAAAAAAAGTTAATTAGAAGGAGAAAATTTTTGTCCAGTGCACTGGACAACGTGCATGTCGGGAATAAACTTTAAAAAAAAAACATTGAAAAATATCTAAAAAAATTTATTTATACAGTAAAGTTTTTTGCCCTACCAAGTTTGCTAGCTATTTTTTACAACCCATAAAAGTCATTTTCCATGAAAATTTAAAAAGCAAGTGTTCTTAGTGACACATAAATACACATTGCATTTGCTGCACATAAACATTGTTTTCTTTTTGCAACCGTCCATTTTGCATCTTTGTGCATTTGGTATGTCCATGAGAATAGGCCAATGGTCATACTTATCAAATCTCACAGACTCAGGAATGCTTGAGGCTCTCATTCTCTTCTTTGGTGATGGTGGTGGTTCGGGCAGATCTTCATCCGACTCCTCACTTCTTGGCTTTCCAACCATGAGGGTGACACAAACTTCAGTGAGGAAATCTAAATAGCTTTTAGTTCCTCCAATCTCTTTGTAAATTATCCATGCATTCACAGCACATTGACTAATCATGTGCAATGCAATTCTCTGGTACCACTTTCGACATCTATATTTTGTGCGATACAGGGCCAGCATCATATCGGACTTGTCTACACCTCCCATGTAGTTGTTATACAACTGAACCGAAGCAGGTCGTTTGACATTTACGTTTGCCTTCTCCTTGCGGACATACCGGGTGCATTCTCCCACTGGATCTCTTCCAATAAAATTGGATATCATCAAAACTCTTTTGCTGTCATACCATGACGTTACGACCACTGATCTTTCCTTATTTACATTTTGTTCTGAAGAACCTCTGCCACTTTTCTTCAGCTGGCTTTCGCTAGGCAACGGGCATTTTCTAGACCTATTACAATTCAATGTAGCCAAAGCCCAAAAACCTTTAGTACCTAAATATGCAATTAGCTCTGGGCAAGAAAAAAAATTATCAAAGAAAAGTTTGTGCTTATTTGCTTCAAGCCTCTGGATCAAACGCAAAACGACAAACCCACTTTCACCACACTTTTCTGGTGCATCCCAGCCACTTGGAGGACCAGTTTTCCCTTTCTCTCCATCTATTTCAAAGGTATAGACATACCCTGAAACACCAGCAAGAGCCCACAACTTATACCCCCACTTTTTTGGTTTCTTTGGGAGATAGCGCTTTAGGCCACTGGCTCCTTTGAAGGGGACAACCTGCTCATCGACTGCGACATAGGTTTCTGGGACGACAACTTCGAAGAACTTGTTTCTGATATAATCTACAAGGGGCTGGATCTTATAACACTTGTTGTAATCTTCACTGTTACTGGCAGGAATCAAATTATTGTCGTTATAATGAAGCAGTTGCATGATTTTGGCAAAACGATTCACTCCCATTGTGTTGGCAATAATGTCCACTCTAGTATTGTGCTGCCAATACATTCGTCTGTTGGGCAACTTCAAAATACCCATGTACAGAATGATTCCAAATGCTTTCTGAATATCTTCCACTTTGATTTCATTGACCTCATTAGCACTGCTGTTGTTTATCGACTGGGAGGTTGCGTATATTTGAGTTTGTTCTAGAATCATGTCCAGCAATTCACTTGTAACAAACAAATTGAAAAACTCTATTGGTGGGCTATTCTTTGAAAGACTATTTTCCAAATTTGGGTTGAGTTTTAGCTTTCTCTCATCAATGTTTGAATTTGGTGGAATTTTCCATGTTTGATTTCCCCTCAACAGCTATTCAAACTCTTCACGGCTAGACGATGGTGCTTGATCTAGAACTTCTTCTTGATCACTGCCATTTTCTGTGTAAGTAAATATAGAGAATAATTACTCAATTTTGAATGTTTATTATTTCTGACATATCTGGTTAAAAATAATAACAATCTAACGTAGAATAGACTTACCCGAAGCGGAGGTTGTGGTATTTTCTTGAGACTCAATATCAAATGCCTCATCATCACTTTCTTCTGATGAAGCTTCACTAACATTTGCTGTTGGCAAAGTAGTAAAATTCACAGGAGGTCTTCGACTGCCATAAAATGAACTAAAGAATGTATACAAACAAACTAAGAAAGCGCAATAATGTTTCTTTCTTCAAGCGAAATAATCAGGTTATTAGCCATTATCATATTTCAGAATATAATAGTTACATAAATGCACAATGTCCAGTATATTGGACAATAACAAAATTCGAATATTTTTCGTAAAATATAAGTCATTGGCACATGAAAATAACTTATAATCATTGTATAAACATAACGCTATGTATAACAACAGTTATTAGCTTATCTCCATACTTATTGTTGCCTTGAAAAGCGTTAAAATTGAAAAAACTCACCTCACTGATATCTTCGGCCTTGACGCCATCTTGGACTCCACAGAATAAAAGCTGACTCATCAATTAAATAATGACATAAGTGTGACATACCCACGCGTGGATAAAAACACGAATTGCATAATTTGAATGTTTCTAAGTTGCGCAATACATCAAAATGCTATGTCCAGTGTACTGGACATGGTGCACTAAAGGGTTAAGATCTCAGTAAAATAATTACATGCTATATGCTATATGCATGCTATATGCAATATTAAGATTCATTTCGTTGAAATGGTTAACAAACCTAATCGCCAATATATACGCGTTATTCTATCAGAACAAAACTTCAAGCAAAGCCATCAAGATGAAAACAACTGCCTTACTTTAAGCGCAGTATATATAGACTGTGGCTTGGGTTGTAATGAATGTATAAACTCATAAATATATAAACGAATAACAGTTAATGAACTGACCACTGCATGCAATTGTATATTTGTTATTAAGTGTTATTCTACTGAAGTAGACCTATCAGATATTCATATTTGCTTGAGCAGAAAGGTCTATATATAGAAGGTTAAAGGCATTCAAGATCTACCCGTGAAAAGCGTTTCAATTTTTACACGCGGAAAGTCTTTGTTTGTATTTTTGACCTTGCAGGGCTTGATCGGGCAATGGACGTCGAAGGCGCTGTTATAGGCTTTTTATCAGGCCTACTGCGTGCAAATACTGTGCCCAAAGTTACTCAAGTCCATACCGTGATTATCATATAAACAAAAAGCTCAGAATTTTATAACAAAAATGTTTTCAACTTGCCTTCTTCCTCGGAGCATTGAACCGGAGAGTCGTGGACATGGTGACGTCTCGCTCGCCTTGAACAATTTTCGCGACTGCATTCGCGATCGCTGTGTTCTGTCGGAGGAGTCCGTGGAGAAGCCATCAATAAACCACCATTTGAACACACTCTCGTAGAACGCTGATGTTAATGATGTTATCCACACAATTCCTGTGTACTTCCTCTTTATTATTGAAACGATTCATGCATCGTCATGGCGAGCTCGCCCTCGCCTACTTTCGAACGAAAGTTACATTACATTATTTTCCCAGAATTTTTGCCTTGTTCGCGGAGGCAAGTGTTGGCAATCAAATATTCTGGGAAGAGTGAATCTTGTGAAATTCGTTTATATTTGCCAAACAGCGTGAATCTTGTCGGAACAACGATATGAAATGAATGTTTTGAAATGAACTCATATACGTTGTGCAATAAATATACAATAAAAGATGCCTGCTCACGTTTCACTTCCGCGCGCGCATGACCGACAAAAGGCAGATTGGGATTTTCCCTTGTTGGCAAAAATTTCCCATTGGCAAAAATGTCTTCCGTCGGACTTTCTTTCTTTCTGTACTGCACATGCACGCAAAATTTGGCCTAGTTTATACGTCGCATTTTAGTCGTTCATTACCTGTTGTTTAAATCGCTTTGACCAAAATGCGACCAAGCTATTTGTTGACAAGCATGGAAGAATATACAAGCCTAACAACCGCACTTAAAAATCGACACCTCCAAAAACTCCATCGCTTTTTAGAAGAAACATCTTTTACCACACTACAGATGCATTTGTCTTGGGATAATTATATTTCTCGATGTTCATAACACTAAGAGGATGATTACATGGAGTGTTTTCAGCCCGGGCTGAGTTTCAGCCTCGGTCTTAAAATAATTCTGACGTGTCATAACACAGCCCGGACTGAATCTTGCCATGTAATTGAAAAATATTTTGGCCCCGGTTGCCGGGCTGAAACTCCCCTAAATTAGACGTTAGTGTGTGTGCAAGGAAGATAAAAACAAATCAAATACATGTAGCGGCTGATATTGATCCATGCCGATATTGATTTTGAGATTGCATCAACTTGTAGGCTCACCTGCGTGGCAAGCATCAATGCTGTTTCGATTTCTCCCGCGGACCTACTTGTTTCAGCTTGTGCAGTGCAGGTCTCGCAAATGATTCATACCTCGAATAATCTTGTATTGGTAATTTCCGCTGTCATCCAGTCACCATAACACGTGTTCTTACTATATAAAAACTACAATCATAACCTCGTTTGTTTGTTTTGGGGTTTCCCCAAGTGTCATCATGGGGTTTTCCCTAATCAGTCATATGATTGTAAACGTCATGGTATATATCGGTGCATGGTGTATAGGCCTTGATGCACATCCTGGGAAGTGCTTTAGCACATTGTTGAAAAGTATCTTTGTTTTGGAATTATGGCGAGCAATCCTTTATAATCCGTATTTATCGTGCTGGTTTATCATTGTTATTCTCATTTTGATGTATAGAATATAGCTGTTTGCTTTGTTGAATATTTTATGAGTTTTTTAAGTTTTTAAAACGGGTAAATTTATCACAAAGAAATCCGGATCGGAAGCAACACATCACCACTTGTGACGTGCATTTTAATACAAAACTTAAAAAAAAGAAAAACTATGATAAGCAAACGGTCAATTTTATTTATTAGATTATAGTAATTTACAATATAATACGTATGTGCATGATTTTTAAAAGAAACGAAAATAATTAAAAATCTCACAGCAACTACTGGTAAAGACGTATGCATATTGCCATGCGTGTATTTTTCCGTATTTCTGAACATTGTTCCATGACCTGGCACAATGAAATCTGCAAGATTAAGAATCATTTTACGACTTTCTCCCTGCGCCGATAAATCCCCTTCATTCTTAAAAAGATCCCCTGTGATGGCAACTGTGCCGTGTCGCGTATTTTCCACAATCACGCTCATATCACTTTCAAAAATTCCAGGTGTTCTAACTACCTTCAGCCCTAAAGAAAACCAGTTGCGTCTATATTAAATTGCCCTCACAACAACAATTGAGCTACAAATTCTCAGTCTTACACTCTAACTCTGGAAGAGAAAGCGCCCGAAAATATTTAGTGTAAAAGTGAGATTATACCAGTTATTTATTACAGATTTTTTAACAACTGAAGGGAAATATCATTTAAATTTTTAGTAAAACTACTGTTAAGTCTACATTTAAAGGGAACTAACGAAGACGATTTACAAAGCAGTCAGTTCGTGGACGCAAAGGTATCGTAATTTTTTATCTTACGACAGCCTGACCACCTACAAATGAGGCATTTTCGCCACTTTTCAACGATATGAAAGACGTTGCAATGTGAAAGTGCATTTTATCGCGTAAATGAAACGGAAATATCAACCAGACATCGGAGTTTTTGCAATATCATCAACAGGTCCAGGCAGGAGAATTTCTCATAGGCTATTTCAAGCAAAATATGTGACTGGCGTCGTGGGATGACCGCGTCGTAGACCGTAAACTTTCTTTAAAGACCACTATAGCCAACACTGGGAACTTGGTTTCAGACTAACCAGGAAATTTGTTCACATTTTAAATAACCCAAACACTAACCAAAATTTTGACTACATTCGGTAAAAAGGTACATTATTTATCATTTTACATGAAGTATATGAATTAGGATTCTGATTGGCTTAGCCAGAGAGATGTAAGCAAATTTGACAAGTCGCTTAATATTCGTAGCTCAAGCTTACCGTGATCTATCTTGATAGGAAATGTTTTTAAACAATCGTAAACGCCTCGCTTTGACATGCAGACATTCGACACCAAAAATTTAGCATCAGGGAAGAGGTTCAAATTTCCCGCGTGATCTAAGCAACAATGAGTACAAACGACATAATGAATATCATTTGGACTCGTATTACTTTCGTCCAACGCCCTAGATGATATTAAATATAATTTAAATGAGGTTTTTAAGAAATGAGAACATAAACACAATGAAAAACAATCCTTATAAGAATTATTACTCTGCGCATCATTTGTGCTTACTTGAGATTACCGATTGCGTTCCACTGAATAGTTTCCTTTTCGATTAAGATACATGGTATTAAGGGAGAGTTTTTTAGTTAAAAAGGTTGTGCCATGGAATCTTAGCGACCAGTCATGATTTACATCGTGTCCCGTCAGCAGCAGATTTGAGAAAGGCACTGAATTACAAAAAATTGACTGGCGACGTTTCGACTAAGTGGAAATCCACATCGGTCATATTCTTCGCCGAAAAGGGAACCGTAATTCGCATTTAGACGGTTCATTCGCTCTTCATGATGCATGCAAGCTCTCGATCGAGTGTTGATCATGCACGGCATGTGGAATTATACATCAACAGCCCCCCCCCCTAAGTGTGGTTGAAAACAGTTAAAAAATAAATAAAGATGTTTGCTTCATGCAACCTCGCCTTAATAAATTACATGATAGTGCTCTCCTACTTTAAGAGTTTCTCTTTTTCAAAAGGGTTTCCAGTGTCAACAATGACATTCTTAGATCCTTTAACCAGAGTGCTCGATCCAGCACGCTTTTGCTTTCCTTGGTCACTGTTCGTAGAATATCCTTTCATTAGCGAGATGATCTCATAGGGATAGCCACCTTCTGGACAAGCACCACATGAATAACGCATAACTGATGGATGAAATTCGTATAGATTAAAAATTGCAAGATATTTAAGAAAAAAGAAAAGAAAATTAATAGACATACAGGATGTATTGGACTTAATGATATATAATTATATCCGACGTAGTTAGTACGAAAGAGCAGTCATTTACCTTTCCAATAACACCCTCTTTCGTCAGAATTATAGTAAAAAATAGTCAAACACATTTAAAATATAAATTAGACATCAACTAACATGATTTGGGGTGTTTTTAGTAACGCATTTCAAAAATACTCGACATAAACCACGACCTATACGAGTGTTTCAATGTTTTGTAATACGATCTATAGGCCTAGTATACAAGTGAACGAGTTTTTTTTTCATGCCGCGTAATATGTGTTTGAAACTTTACATTATGATTCACACAAAACTACAATAGCACTGAAATTTTATATATTCAAGATACATATATATTAATATCATGCGTTATAGCAAGTTTAAAGAAGTAATTTAAAGAAATTAACCGGTGAATAGACACGTGGAATATTAAGGATAAATATACGGATATAAGACCATGCGGAGATAAAATAAACACATCTACTTATTAACATACTATGTCAACTCTCGATCCTGGGCAAAAACCTTCGACGAACTGTAAAAGCAAGCGCTATAAATTTCACAGGAGTACTATTCTTCCATGCATTATGGCATTAAATGAGGTTAGGCGTTTAAATCCAAAAATCGGCATCTTTTGGTATTATATCCGCATGAATATATAACAATATCAAGTGCTTAAACAAGTCTTTGTTGACCATTGTTGACTTTGAGCAAATAGATTGGCATCGTTAATCCGTAGCGTAAATTTCGGTGCTATTTCTTTTATATTACTGTGATTATATATGTGTAATTATGCTGGCTCAGGTCAGCCATCGATCGATCCCTACTTTCGGCGCATCGATATTTCAAAACAGTAATTTTGTGATGATTTAATTTCAAGCGGATTCTCACGTCGCGGCATTCCGTGTAGAATACATCGGTGGTTTGAAAGTCTTGGAATGTTTCACCCCATATCATCCTGAACCCATATGCTTAGAATTCAAACAACGAAAATATTTTGACTTGCCTTCTGTACATTCAGATGGGACGTCAAAACCAGAAGTAGATCGAGATTCGTCATTTTCTACTGGTGAAAAAGCCATCGCATATATATATATTCGCTAAAATCTTTGTTGCACAATGAGCCCACATCGACTGTGCTATAGAAAGCATCTTCCCTCTCTTATATAAGACAAACCTCGAAACTAATTTTGCAATATCATGGCCTCGTGACCGGCATCGTGCTGTGCTTAGCCGAAATACAATGCGAGTTATTATAAACGTTCGCAGAAGTGTGTGCTTTTTCTAGGAAGAATATAACTGTAAAGTAAATATTCTTTAAAAAATATCTCTTGTTAATGAGTGCAGGAGGTTACCCAAGTCGCTTAAAAGTTTGATATAATGATCCATAAATTTATGGAACATTCTAAATCGTTGTTTAAACATAGTAATATAGACACATTAATACAATGTATTTAGTGATTAGTTTGGGTTGTACTTCCGAGTGTCAATTTACAGGAAGCGTGGGGGGGAGGGTGGAATATTTCCATACTATTACATGCATCAAAAGTTTCGTGAATATACTCGGCTTGATGACTCTATTCCACCGACACCTTATTTTAAGAGGTGAGGGGACGTACACAAAAGTATATTCGCTTTGCGAATAACAGCGGCACTTTTATATTTTGGCGAACAATATCTATATTCATATTTGTATTTGCTATTTGATTAAGGATTTACCAGGTTGTTAATAAATCATACAATTCTAATAACTATAAATAACTACAAATGATTTAGCACAATATATTTGCTCTTATAGAATTACGTTCATCTCAAAGACTTTCAATGTTTCGCGGTAATAAACGCCTAATTCTATTTCAAAACCCTGTACTGGATAGCATTTTAAAAACCCAAGGTTTAAAAAATTTCCCCAAACTGCCCTATGCATCCCAAACAAGTGCGCCAAAACAAGTTTATTACACTTGAGTCTTGACTGAGATAGCACCAGGCAACCAACGCTCAATTATCAATACATAATACAATTCCTTTTTGTTTGCCTGCAACGTATTTGAAATAACTACTTGTAATATTATGAATCCATAATATTGTGATAAACTATTAATTAATTTGCTAAATAATTCACCTGAGTTCTAACATCAAAATAATCTTGCTTTGAATTCAAATGAATCTATTTTTAACTCTTGCTAATTTGGAAACGTTTCCGACTTACATTTTTGGCGGGTTTTCCCTAATATTCGGTGTTTTCCCTTTTAAAACACGCGACGAGAATTTCGCAATATCGGGTCCACGAATTTTTTGTTATTTCAACATGCCGCCGGTTTTTTCCCCGTCAAACAAAACGTTTCGGTAAGTAGGCAAATAATCTTCAAGTTATTACTCAATTTCGATTTAGGAAACTTTTCCGGTGGTAAATTTACAAATGAAATATAGTAATTAGCTTATCAAATCTGTCGTATCGGGAAACTCTGTCGTATCGATCAGTCGTATCAGTAAACTATAGAGGATTCAAACACTACGTCAAAAAAGTTTACTTTTTCATTTTTTAGGCATACACATGCACTGGCGGATTAAGTTGCTGTTTACACACGCAACAACGAATCCGATAGAAAATGTACTCGGTTTTAAGCCGTATCCGGAAACTTTGAATCCGTAAAAGTTTGTGGAAACTTCGTATCCAGAAACATTTGAATCCGGAAAATTTTCTTGTGTAAACGCTTTGCACGACGAATCCGAAGAAATTCAAACGTGACGACCAAACAATTCTCCAAGAACAAATAATGTGAGTCTAAACTCTAAACGGACAAATCCGCATTCAGAGACAACTAAAGTGTAGTGTAAACACCTGACGAATCCGATACATGTGTGTAACAATGAATCCGGATAATTTTACAAATCCGGAAACTTTCGTTCTAGTGTAAACGGAGTCTAAGGGTGAGTCAGAATAAATTACACAGCCTAATTTCAACTTTAAAATACTATAATAACAACGTTTTTGGTAAAAATCTATCAATATGATTGCAAGTTAGAGCTGTAGTAATTTATTCTGACTCACCCTGGACTGCCACTGGTCATACAGACATGCATGCATAAATAAAAAGGTCTTAAATCACTTTTTTGCATTGAGAAAACATATAAGATGTTAAAAAAGATGGAGTGAAGAAATCTTCCTACGCTTTATAGGGCCAGAATGACGAAGGTAATTATGCTAAAATACATTGAAATGGGCAGTAAACTTTCTTGGCGTAGGCTCCATTTTTCCTGTATGGCCGTTGGAAGTATATTTTCACGCACGATTTCAAGGCTGTCAAAATCATATTGTCTCGAGCTCATCTTGAAAATATTTTTATTCTTCATCAGAACAGAGCGAAATATGCGACCATGTTCGACTTAGATCATCACGATGGCGTTCTAAGAATTTGATCCTAATCCATTCCTGGAACGAACCTTTGCCGACCGTTATTAGATGCTGCGCATGGGACAACAAAGTCATATCCACCAATGCAATTACCCCACGATCAACATTTTCAGCGGTTGGCTCGTACTCAACAGCACCGGTACTTGATATAAGGGAACGATGAAGATGATGAATTTGTCGATGATTCTTATGCCCTTTTAATCTCCAGGCATCAGAACTAGATATTGTCATATCAGATGCTATCAGCACTCGAGGAATACGCGTTATACATTTGAGAACTGTTAAGAGTTCAACCAGTACGCGCAGGCAGCTTTTCAATCGGGGAAAACCATGTGATTCATAAACTTTCCCACCACGTATATGTACACCTATGTAATGGCCATCTAACTTACGCCACTGAAACTTTTCAGCTTCACTTAATATACTTTCTGATGGTTTGATAGCGAATTGAACGTCCCTAGTAGCAACTTTAAGATGTTTTTTAGTAAAGTTTGTTCTATAACTACCTCCAATGCCACGCCACATTGAGAGAGTTAAGCATTTCGCACCTTTAATGACTCCTTCCTCCAACACAGACCAATCTGTTACCTTTTTTACACTGACGCAAAAATATTTTGACTTCGATTTTCCGTTGATGAGGCCTTTGGGAGCTGGGCATTTAACCCAACCAACTTCATTCGTTAACTTTTTAATGGCGTTGTATTTCATCTGACTAACATGCAGCATATTTTTTGTTCGTTCGTCATTTTTTTTATACATAAAGTAAACAAACACGTGACTTGCGTTACCCAATGAGCATTCAGTATCGTATTCTTTCCCGCTGACCAAAGTTGCGTAATCACTCAGTGCAAGAATATTGTTGAAGTGACTTGTGTTAAAATACATTTTTAGAGGGTAACGGTAATTGGGCCCAAAAAAGGTATCTTGTACCCTTGGTGCCACGACTTTTCTCCCACCAATTTTGGCTACACCTGACAACGTGATCAATGACCGAATGCTCATTGTTATTTTTTCGTCGTTTCCAGCGTATACCCGAACATATCTTCTCGTTGTACGTGTTCTCTCTTTCGTCGGATATTCATTTGAGAGCACGTTTTCAAACACAATTTTCTTCGGTAACATTGCATTGGTGACAGTCAATATCACCTGAGTGTCGGCACCTTTCTTATTCAATGAATTGGCAAATCTGATCAAAATGTGGCTCCCAAAACTCTTTTTTATTATTCTTGCGTTCTCAACTGCGAAAAAAGTAAGATTTTTAAAAATCCTCTCGTTGATGTCTACTTCACCTAAATTTCCGTATTTTCCTGAGGTTGCACGATATTTCCAGATTACAAACGTTAACATCAACAGTCCAACTGCAATGAATCTGTTCCTTTTTATCCTAGGATGTACGAAAACCTTGAGGTAATCCGTCACAATAAAATGACGATTTATTCCGTTTTGGAAAATTAAAGGGGTACAATCTTAAAGATCTCCCAAATCTATCATGGATATTTTCGATCCTGGATAACATGTCCCTATCGGTATAACATTCCCTATATGTAATTTGCCCCTATATGTCGAATGCTTCTATACGTGATATGCCCCTATACGCACATGTCCCTATAGGTAAAATACCCCTATATGTAACATGCCGCTATATGTCGAATACTTCTATACGTGATATGCCCCTATACGCACATGTCCCTATAGGTAAAATACCCCTATATGTAACATGCCGCTATATGTCGAATACTTCTATACGTGACATGCCCCTATACGCACATGTCCCTATAGGTAAAATACCCCTATATGTAACACGCATAGCGTAACAGACGTTACCACCTCAAATATTATGATAGATTGTGCGAGCTAAATAAAGGATGTCGGTTTGATGTTTTAAAGTTATTTGTTACAGTATACATACTAAAATGAGTCATCGATTATTATTCGTATAGCCCTGCGATCGCTCAACTTCCTGAGTACACATTGTTTTTGTACGATCAGGTTACATATAATCAGAAAATATTATGACCCTTTCTGCGAATTTTGCCTACAAAGGAAGGAATCTTTTAAATATTATTCGCAGCCAATGTAAAGAAGGATGCTGGAAACATTTCCACATGCTATTTTTCATCAAATCATAAAAACAAAGCCATCAATAACATACCTGAATTGACATATTTACGGCTAGACTCAGTGCCTGACCTCAATATACGCACACAACACGAATACGCGCATTCATACGCCTGTATTCAGTATTCTAAACGCTACGCTTAGACTCGAACTCGTTGACTGGGCGAATTCAATCGCCTTATAGGTTTGCCCTAAATTTGATATCAATCGCTTTAAATTTTAGATTGCCTTTAATTCTTTCATTGATTAAGAAAATGCTAGCATTGATAATCAATAGCACATTTTGATCTTTGATTGCTAAGAGTGTGATGTACAGGCCTAGTCTCTCTATAGATTATGATGAAGCGAAACAGAATTTATATTTACCTTTTCGCTAAGGTGCACTTCATCTTTTGACGCCGCGAGCATAATATAAAAGACTCAGTTCACAGCCACCCCCCGGTTTGGGAATTTAGAATGATTGTATTTCTATATCGGAATGACTACCGTAAATGATCGATCAAGCGCGGCTATACTCGAATAAGCGCCGCTATCAAACAAGCGCCGCAGCGCCTATTCAAGAATGTATAAATAAACGCCATAGATACTTTTTTGAACGCGCCCTAACCGCTGCCTAACACGAATGAGAATTTGATCACAGTCAATTATAAAATTAAAGTTTTATCAGTGTCGCACATCCTTCACAACCGGGCTCAGCAGAAAAGGTCTGATAGTTTAAATTTCACCTTCTTAATTAATTCTGCGTCTATCAATTGTGCGTGTCACTGGGGCACAAAAATCCTCTGCTTGTCAGGGTTGTATCCGAAGTTCCCGAAAAAAGTGAATATATATACATATAAGTATAGATGTCTAGATGCGAAAAATTTCACCACAGGGCTCAAATCTCGGCCCTTTTTCACCTATTTGTTTTCATTTTTGATCCCCAAAATTTTTTGCGATTATAATGTTCCTTCTATTGGCAGGACCGGCAACCTTACTATCCAGATTATTATCAGGTTAAAAGCATTATAAACTTGATTGTTTCCCAAGTAAAACGCTTTGCGTGATGGTGGACCATCAGTTTCATCTGAAACACAACAGTAACAAACTGAAAACTATACAACAATGTAAAATTTAAATGTTGCATGGGAATATTTAACTTTGATTCTTCAACGAAACGCCTGATATACGAGAATATAAATCGGGTGTTTTGCCTCGTATTAAATTTTGACGTTAGTTTGAAACCAAATAAATTGTTCTAAAACCTTGATGAACAAACTGAAGTTTTGAAATTAAACATGCAGCCATGCAGGGGCCGGTTGTATCCAGCCCGTTTAGCTTAAACGGTGGATAAGTCAAAATTAAATAACACTCTAGGATTGCCATCGGAACAAGTTAAATTGCGAAGTTAATGAAGGACAGTGGAGATCTTTAATGTCCGAGATCTGAAAAAATATACCAAATCTCTCAAATTAAAAAGCGCTTGCTAATAATCGTTGCTTAATATTGGCAAACGAAGATGTTGTGACAAGCGAATCCGGCACCGTGTGAAGGCAGTCCTAATCTCTCTTGAACGAGTCATCTTGATTATTATACACTGAATATGTAGTTGTAAACAGTATCATCTTTTCTTTAAAGGTTAAAAACATTTAGTTTCTTGTTGATTAAAACGATAGGCTTGCTTTCTATTTTGAAATTAACAAGCGTTTGCTTCCTTTGACTTTTTCTTTTGGAACTTAGGCAGAACGACTGAATATTTGACTTAAGAAACGATTTAAACATGTATCTAATTATGCAATCTTTACACAGCAGGTAGCCAAAATTTTTTCACAACTATGCATGATCATTATAATCTTCTATATATAGTGCATTATATTTCAATCAATAAATTGCATGATCTCTGACATTTAAGACTAAATCCAAGTCATATGCTTCCGACACGCTTGAGAATATTAGCAACGTACGGCATTTATAACAAAAATTATTTGTGTTTGTTATTCATTTCAAAGAGCAGACATGATGAAACGTCTGGTGGATGTATTCATTTTAGCAGGTTAGTCAACTGAGGATTCTAACACAGTCTTTTAGTTGTTCCATTGCTATTAGTTCGGACGAGAGGAAATTTAGAGCCGCTCTAGACGCTGTGCTTATGCACTGAACAATTTTTTTGTTTGCGCTGATTTCGTGGGAGTATACGGACCTATTAATTAAACTACTCACTACAAGCCGCGACTATTTATACTAGGATTATACATATACCTAATAGTCTACTAAAACGATATATATACTGGATTCCGCTTAAAAATCAGCGCTGAAAAGTCGCGTGTCAGCCTTTAGTGACATCAATCGGTATACACAAGCTTATATACCGATTGATGTCACACTGTAAATATTTTCTATAGTCTAGATATTAGTTTAATTTATTTTTTATTTAACTAATGTATTATAATAGTATAAACGGCTCCTTGAAAATCAGCTCTAGCTGAAGGGCTACCGTGTTTAAATAAATTTTTAATAATAATAATAATAATAATAATAAATAAACGCCTTAATTCAACTTACAGCGGATTCCGTTTGCGTGCAAAACAACAAGCGTTCCCAACGCATGTTGGGTTGTTTAATATATGACATTTGAAATGCCACACGCACTGTTTCCAAGGAATGGGCGGAGCGTTCCGTTTGTGCTCTGACATAATTGCGCTTGTGTTAAAAGAAAGTGCTTTCACTACTTAAAGGCTGGGAGAACTTTTTCTGACCGAATTTGAAGCTACAAGCACGACGGTGTCAAGCTGCCGTCTTGCATATGATAAGACACGAGCATCCGTGACTTTCCGCGCTTTAAGGCCATGTTACATGGTGCAATTTTTCTTGCAACTTGAAAGCAATTCTACTTTTAAGAGATGTAATTCAGTCAACAGTTCCAAATCTAAGTGTAAGAATCGCACTGGAGTGTAATAAAGACAAAAATTCTGTAGTTGCCAAATTTACATCTCTCAAAACAAGAATTGCATTGCATGCGCAAGTTGCAAGAAAAATTGCACCGTGTAACAGGGCTTTTAGACAGCCAGGATACCTAGACAGTCTGAAATTCCCATGGGACTTTGAAAATTGGATTTACTCACGCGATCATTGATATTAAGGATATAGCTCTGCGGTTACGAGAGTTTAGAACATGCACGAGTGACTGTTTTTATGATGTAGTATTTGAGACACAAGAAGAAGCGTTTTAACATATTGCCTCACGTTTTTTATATGCGCAAGTTCAAGTGTTTTAAATGACTTCAAATACGCCGCATTGCAATTTGCTCCATGTTAATGCTAATGATCTAATGCAATAATGTTAATTAGGATGAAACTTTATATGAAGAATAGTAATGACGTAACAAATTATATATATATTAGTGCAACTCTTCGTGGTACGTTACCACGTATAAAGCCACCACATGTGACTTCTTAGGGTCGATTTCATAGCCTATATAAATATAAAATAAATTGTTTAAAACGTTTGTATCGGCATTGTCACTTACATGTGGTCTTGATCAATCGATATTATTACGACCTGTGCTATTGGCCTACAGCTAAAGTTTTCTCTCTTCAGAGCAGATTTTCTCCACCCCTTTGGCAGAGTTGCCCATTATGATAATGAAAACAAGATGACAGACATAGATATGCATACTTTTTACTGTGGTGAAGGATGCTTTGAATAGCCTAGACAAAGAGCATTTAAAAAGAATATATTAAATATTCCTCCCTCCACTCGATAGAGACAAACTGTCTAAACTATTGTCACATAAATTTTATAAACGTATGCACGCGCCTAGTTTTAGCATATCAAGCGACTTAAAATTGCGTTTAGAATTTTATTTCTTTTTCCTAGATGTGTAGATACACATTCATAAACTGATAGACATAGTTTGACATTCTAGGGGGGGGGGGAGGATAGGGGGGTCAGAATCAAACGCGGGCCAAAATGCAATAAAGAAGAAAAAAAGGAAAAATTACGAGGATTGTTATTAAACTAGGGTAATGACTAAATATCTATGCGAAAATATGTTTCTGTTTCGACAGTGTTGATAGAAGCTGGGCACGTTTCAGGCGATGGCGCTGATGTAAGGTCATGTGGACAAAACCCACCGGTGAGTTTAATAGTCAGACTTTGCTATCAACGTAAGACTTTATAAGATTAAGATATGTAAGCCGATTAAAACTTAAGCTCTAACCAACAATGATACATCGACCGGAAGACTTTTCTTTGGGTTATCCAATACTTAAAATGAACGTTGGAGAAATTAAACTTAATCTCTACATTAGCCGAATTCATATTAGAGACGGGAAACTCATCTTAGACAGGAAAGTTAATGGTAAAAATCCGTCTAAATATGAATAGGAATGCATGGATAAATTGATACGTGATGGGTCGGGTGATGCTAAAAAGGGTATCGTAATTATTACGATAAAAATTTTGTTTGTTTTCTCTTAGCCTTGTTCCATCCTTGACCGTGTTGATATTTCAGAAGCTCGTCTGATTTATCCGTCTAAATGCGAATTTAAGACGTGTTTCTCGTCCAGACAGGATTCCCGCCCAACTTACCCGTCTGTTTAGACGGGAAAGTTAGACGGGAAAGTTAGACGGGAAAGTCCGGATGAGAAACGCGTCTGTGACCGGATTCACATAAGTTTCCCGTCTCTAATATGAATGAATTCGGCTATTTTTAAAGGCATCCATTAATAGCATTCTGGGAGCGTCGACCAGTTTTGAATGTAGTTTATTTGCGATTTGTGTTTTTCTTCTGAAAGTATTATCCCAGATCGGTGGTAAAAACGGGAGACCGCATAGAAAGACTTCGCGAAAAAATGAAAAAAGAAAACTTGGCAGCTTACATTGTTCCCTCAACAGATTCACATGGGGTGAGTAAATACACATTCATCTGTTTCATTTTTTGCATGACTTAGTTTAAATACAAAGTCAGTTGCACTGCCGAAGATAGGCCTACTTATAAGTATCTATCTTACCACTTTCATTTGATACTAACAGTGAAACTATTTGTGTTTGCCAAATTAGTATATTATACGAATTTTTCATGCACAAAGTACCGACGAACACAAGCTGTATAAGTATAACCTTACTGTGTCAGGATGCAAGTATTATTTTAATGTTGAACATGCAGATATATAGAATTAATGTAAGTGAATAAATAAGGAAATACTGAAATATATAGCCCCGTGGCTATCGGGAAATCATTATGATCTGCAAATATCATAATACATGCACCATTTAGTCAGATTAAGATTTAGTTAGGTTTCTTGAAACGATTCTTGATCGACTCAACCAAGACTATGTTTCATTACCCAGTTTCGCATCTATGATGTGCACCTTTTTAATTCTTTGAGTAGTCGTTGATAGTTCATTCTTCTATTTTGTAATAGAACGAGTACGTGAAAGAACGTGACAAGCGACGTGAATTTATAAGTGGTTTCAGCGGATCTGCTGGTAAGCATTACACAACATTTAAATTACGATTGCTATTTAAAAACAGTGCAATTCCGAATGAAATTTCATCTATATTAGATATTCTATATTTTTGCAGCTATATCAGCCGAGTTTGAAAATAATTAGTGCGGCGCTCATTCGGGGGCAGCGCTCTTAAGAAAAATTTATCGCAAATGCGGCGCTCATTCGGGGGTGGCTGTTTTACAATATAGGCTATAGGTTGTTTTACAATGACCAAAAGCACGATTGTTCAACGTCGTGCTGCACCCCATCAAAATGATCATTAAAATATAGGCTACCTCTTAGACCCAACATTAATATTCTTGTACTTTTGCATGACGAAAACAACCGGCAACAACTACCGGCAAATGGTCCGAAAGCAATATAAGGCAGTTCATCCACGAACCAATAATTATATAATTCTTGAGAATAATGGCATTGGTAGTCCTATATTTCAATCAGCAAGTTCCCATTAACGTAAATATAACTACTATCTTATATTCTTGGATTAAAAGGTACAGCCATAGTGACGATGAAAAGCGGCAGTGCATTGTGGACCGATGGGAGATACTTCCTTCAAGCCGATAAGCAGCTGGACTGTAATTGGATTTTACAGAAAAAAGGTTTTCTAATGATATGAAACTCAGCTTGGAATCAAGCTTCTTAGTTGTAGTGCTTTCAAGTATTTTATAATTCCCTAACATAGAACATTCTTTTATAAATTATAGGCCGAAAAGGGGTTCCATCGCAATCTGAGTGGCTTAAACAGGTTCGTTAAGTCCTATATAGTTGAATAGATGTATTCACAAATATAATTATCATAATATAATGGTAAATGACGAAGCGGCAATTTTGATTGGCTTTCGCTGCCTTTTAAATGTCTCCCTGATTTTCCCACTCAAACTGACCAATTGTAAACTCAGGTGCTAAATTCTGGGGATGTTGTCGGAATTGATCCTTTTCTGCGCAGTATAGGTAAGATGCATGCATGTACTATTTAAATTAAAGATCATACTGCTTCTTAATATTGTTTTTTATCTACATTTTACCTTCTACAGATTTTTGGGACAAGACAGTTAAGGTATCGCTATTGAAGATTACGATTTCATATGAACAGAATGAGCCATTTCTTTGAGTTTTGAGATTTCAAATCGAGATATTGTTTTGGAAAAAACTCTCGTGTGAAAGGAGAACCGATTCCTTTTCACACTATAACGTGTACTAGTCGAAGGGAAATGCAGAAAACGACAAGATTTAATTGAAAACTTTCTTACAATTATAGACATTGAAAAAGAAAAATATCACATTGAGAGGCGTTCAAACAAATCTGGTAGATGCCATATGGACAGGTCGGCCAAAAGAGGAAAAGAAAAAAATCGTAGTTCATCCATTTATTTACACAGGTTTGACTTGTTGAATTTAAATTATGTCAGAAATGTTTAATTGACTCAATTTGTGTAATTTTGCAGACGGTAGTTACATGTAACTTTTGATGCACGGATTACGCATGGGCGATGATCATTTGAAACTGTCATGATCAACAAGGAGGAATTTCGTTTTAAACTAATCGCCATATTTGTTTACATTTTTTCAGGCCAAGACAAACAGAATGCCTAAATTTTAAATACTTCATGTAAAATGGTATATATTGTACTCTTTGTCAAAATTTATGCATTCTGATTGGGTTACTGAAAATGGACAAACAAACTTGCTGACTGGTCTAAAACGAAATTTCCCCTTGTTATCATGATCACTCATTTGGCTGCTGCATGCATTTTCATCAGGTTCATTGTCGCGCGTCTATCTTCATTAATAAGGTTGAAATGATTTTTAGAATTTACAATCAATCATTTCACAACAGGTAAGCGTTGGTATGACAAAGTTGTAGATGTTCAGAAGAAAATGAAAGAAGAGGAAACAGCAGCTCATGTTGTGCAGAGTTTAGATTCCATCGCTTGTAAGTATCCATGCAGTAGACACAAGGAAATAATTGGAATGATAATTTAAATGTTTGGCATTGGTTTCCACTCAGAAGTCTCATATCAAACTAAAATATGAAATTCTTGCTACCTTCAGGGTTATTAAACTTGCGTGGTGATGAAATTTCATACAATCCTGTATTCTTTGCTTATGTTATCGTTAAGATGGATGAAGTTCTGTAAGTAATTAGGTTATATGTTTGGTGCTGTTGGACAAAACGATATGTGACTAGATTTATTGAATCTCCTATACGGACTGAAATGGCTATGACTTGCTTCATATATGCGAGTTGTGCCTTTATCCTAACTAAATTTGCGTGTTTTCTGATCCTCGGCAAAAAATACGACCAAGCAAAGAATCCCTTTTCTTTGTTAAATTTGCAAGGATTGTGGGAAGGTCTTAAAAGGTGGCAAATGTTTGTAAACACAGGTTTTTCGTGGATGGAGACAAGATATCATCAAAAAACGTTCAAGACCATTTGCAGCTAAGAAAGTGCTCCGGCAAATCCTACTGTGTGAAGACAAAGTCGTACGACTCAGTTGTAGATGAATTGCATGAGATAAGCAATAATTTACCGCCCGACACAAAAATATGGGTAAGAAACTAGCTATGTGCGATACATTCTAGGAATTCAAAAAGCATGACTGCGAAAAAGCATTTCATCTACTATTGGATGACTTTTTTTATATTATTCAAGAGTTTGCTTAGGAGATATCTTGTATCTAAACAGGTGCATGCATTCTGCGCTTTTTCACTTTAATCAAAACGTCGATCTTCTATCATATATGTAGTGCTGTATATATGATGCTGGTGAATATTATACAGCTATCACGCACGCATCCTCCCGTATCCGAACTTGTTTAGAATTTACTCGTGCTAAAACATGTAGCATCCGAAAGTACGTACCTTGCTTAGTCATACTCTTATGTGTATATTTCTAATGTTTTGATGCATGTTGCTCAGAATTCAACACCGTGCATTTCTTTCTTTCTTTCTTTCTTTCTAAATTTTTAGTTCAGTCCAACGGATAGTCATGCTCTAAGACAACGTGTTGCTGACGTAAGCTACAGGCCACATGCACAATGAAATTAAATTTTTTACGCTACAAATATTCGATGCGCTATTTACTGAAACGTCTTGTTTAGGACAAAGTGTATCTTGATTATTCACCCATTATTTTGATGAAAGGCAAAAAGAATAAAGTAGAATTGGAAGGAATGAAAAGAGCTAACGTATGTATAACGACCCTGTAATGTAGTAAAATTGCAAAAATATGACTCATATGTGTTTTATATATGATTTGAAAGTCTTCAACGTTACACGCACGTTGGTCTGGAATAGCAAAAATTTGCCCACTCTTGTAGGAAAGTATTTTGCTACAGCAGAAGAGAATTTGACAATTCTGACCAATACGATGTAGGCTGCGCGTTTCTTCCTAGGGATTAACACAAGCAACCAGGACGGTAGCTTGAAGCTTAATTGGGAGGGTGGGTGTATATTCATATATTTGTCTTAGCCCGACTGATTTTTTTGTGCGCTATTGTTCCCACGGTATATAAAGATGAATTAATGAATATACGCCCCCCCCCCCCGCCAATTAAGCGGTTTTGCTACGCCCTTCAAGCAAATGAACTATATTCTGATTTGAACAGCTCTGTATTTTAAACTCAATGAATATTTTGCAGCTAAAGGATTCCGTTGCTTTGGCGGAATTTTTCTTATATGCCGAAAAACAGGTAAAAAAACTTCGATAAACGTCGATAATCGTATATATAGAGCTATAAAGAAAATTTATGAATAATGCAATGCAGGTACCGCGGAATCTAAATTATCTAATCCATCACTGCTAGGAATAGCATTTGAAAATAAGTAAGACCACAAATTGTGGGCTCTTAAATTTGTAAAATGTACGTGTATATAATAGAATGACTCTGTGCGGAGTAATTCTGTGCATATTTATATTGTATTGCGTGTGGAAAAATGACTATACCTTTGGCTAAACATTGCTGTTTTCATCGTACATGTTTGAAAAAAAAACTTACCAATTCTCATGGCCTTAAATTTCACAAAACTTTGCAACCAACCTTTGCAGAAATGATTCGATCATTCTAAGATGCCCTTTTAAGCTGTGCATGATCATGTCATCATAGTTGTCACATGATATGTGTGGCCAATGTTCCAGTGCAATCTCATTTCTTTGGCTGTTTTCAAAAGGTGGCAAAGAAAGCGAATATCACTGAGCTGTCGTTGGGTGAAAAAATGATAGAGTTTCGCAGGTGACATATTGAGAAAACATCATGCGTAAATCACTACTATATTGTGATAAATACCCGAAATTATAAGAAATCCCCAAAGATTCTTCTTCATGCTGGAAAGCAAGACTACTTACAACCTTGCAAGCCAGGCTTTTCTACCTGCCTTCTAAAAGCCTGGTTTGTGAGGCGGGATGCCATGCATGTGATAGTTGATACCCCTGCGGTAGCTACGTTTCCGTGAAAGAATTGTTGATGTGACTGGTCTATATTTTCAGCAAACAAGCTTTGTACAAAGGCCTTAGTTTTCCTTCCATCATTGGATTTGGGCCAAACAGCGCAGTAATCCATTACACGTGAGTTAAAACGGTCGCAATTGCTTACTGACAAACGAGTAGAAAGTCTCGCGTATATGCTATCATTTTGAAGCAATTATAGGTTATAGATTTTAATTCGCTTTTTGCAAAGAAGAAAACTGTAGGAAACTGAAGAAAACGCTATATAGGTTTTATATTGAATATTTTCTGACTTCGAAAAAAAAGCATGCACGGTGGTTGTGCATGACATCATGGGCAAACTCTCTGTATAATGAAAACGACTTTCTTTCTTCTATTTCATTGCTTCATATACAGAGCGTCGAAGAAAACTGACAGGCGGGTGACAAATCAATCTACCCTTTTGGTTGACACAGGCTCGCAATATTTGTAAGTTTTTATCTCTGGTATGCATTACACATGATGTAAGTCTAGTTTTTATCTGTGATTTATCTATAAATCACACGATCAAGGAATATTTCGCAAATCTCAGTTTTACTTCTTTCGAATCTCGTGTGCAATTTTATAGAGAAGGAACTACAGATGTCACTAGAAGTGTCCATTTTGGAACGCCAACGGCAAAACAAAAGGTAAAAATGATTTCCCGAAACAGTGATTCATAATGCTCATTTTCAAAGATATTAGGAATTAAACCAAGAATCCTATTTCGAATTTCAAAGCAATTTCTTTGTCTTTCCGTATGAGATTTTAAATTTCATTTACAGAGTGCATTTACTCGCGTGTTAATGGGACATATCGATGTTGCAAAAGCGTTTTTCCCTCAAGGAACGTACGGTACGCTCGCTTTAACCCATTTTTTGGCTTTTTTGTCGCGTTCTGAATGCAGTAAAACAATACATAATGATGCATCTCGATTGATCAACGATTGTTTTACATGTAAACGATTGTTTTTTTTCGGCACACAAGAAGCATGCACGACGTTTAAAACAGGCCTTAGTCTAAGTTGCAATGAAGCTTTGCAAGGTCATAGAGCAAATCGTAATACAACACTATTATAATTCCTTCTATAAACTTTTCAACAAACCTTAGTTTTTTTGAAGAGGGGAGCTTCTGAGCTTTGTATATAAAGTAGTATATATTGTTCATTGGAAACTAAAAAAGTAAGAAGGTGAAACAATTAGGACGAGAACCATAAACACGCGATTTTCAACAAAGTTCACAAAGCACCCAACTGGGTGCAAAATATCATACTGCGACTTGATTGTGCATAAAAACTACAAATGTTTGCTATATTTAGGTCGCGCACTCGAAATATTTCAACGTGAACCTCTGTATCGAAATGGCTGGAATTACAGACATGGTTCAGGACATGGAATTGGTTCATATCTTTATATCCATGAAGGTAGTGACAGTTCAAATTGCCACTTTTGCTTTATTTGCATCGCTCCTTATTTCGCGGCATTGCAATAAACTGCGATGTTGCTTTTGAGGGGATGGGTGTTCAAAGCTGCTTCCTTGATTTAGCAATAGTTTAGGTAAATTAGCTTGTAGGTACACCACGTAAGTATCTAATACAGTATTAAATACTTACGTGGTGTACCTACAAGCTGATTTACTTTTTTATGTCATGCAAAGTTACAAGAATATTATTACAGCAATTGTTTGCTCTACTGACAAATAAGTTTGTGAGAACTGTCTTTGTCATGTAACACAGCCACGTAACTGCGATGACACGATCTACACTCCACAAATTCCTATATTTTTTTTTATTGAAAAACTTAAATTCTACCAACGTTTTCATTCAGGTCCAGGTTGGTTTGCACCTGGTTGCCCAACGGCGTCGGAAAAACCGTTGGATGTAGGTTTCGTGATCACTGATGGTGAGTATAATTATTTGCTTGCAGATTTCGTATGCTGTGCTGAATTTATATTCATACAGTAATGTCCAGAAATAACCTTACAAAAACCGCGGTTGATCCGAGGTCAGACCGAGGTCGAACCGTGGTGAGACGGAGGTAAAACCTCGGCCTTCCTCGGTCTGACAGACATTTCTTAAGATTTTTTTCGATTTGATTATTGTGTTGTCGACTCGTTCTCAGTTGTTCATAACGTTTCGTTCGGAAGCGAACGGCCACTGCGAAGGTATCTTTTCCATTGCGGTCGTCTGCTGTTTTTATCGGTCGACCGCAACCGAGCCGCAACCGTAGTGTTAGGTTATTTCTGGACAGTTCTGTAGCTATCAAATTCGTTACAGAACCTGGTTTCTATGAAGATGGTGATTTTGGTGTCAGAATCGAAACTACATTGACTGTAGAAAACGGAAGTACTTCTGTAAGTATTCTTCCTTTCATAAACCACTGTGAATTCCGTGCATTCAATCTTTACAAGAACTGCATGGGCAGTACGTTAAAACAGTTCAAAATTCATTGTTTTTTATACTTTTTTGTTATTACAGAATCGTTTCGACAATGTTGACTACCTTAAGTTTGAACCTATTTGTTACGTATGTATAATATTTACTACATCGGGAGTACGTTTTCTCTTCGAGAAAATAAATACAATACATTAAATACCGCCATAACTTCGTGAACTTATGGCATTCCTTCCCATATAGTTTCCAATACAAAGAAAGCTTATCGATGAAACTATCATGAGTGACCATCAGGTATGAAAGGCCAAGTTCTGAACTAAACAAGTCTTCCCTTATAGTCCCCAATTTTAAACCAAGCATTTATAGTAATAGATGCCTCATTACCTGCAAAAATAGTTGACAAAAATAGTGAGAGAACAAATCATGACCGTGGCCCTTTGAATACATGTATTTTTGAAAGTAGGAAGCGCGCAGATTTTTCCAAAATATTTCATAGTATAAATACGGGCTTTTATTATATACTGGGCGCCCAGGTTTATCGTGCAGGCTGGCACGAAGTGCGGTATGCAAACTAGTTGGCATCAAATATCCTCACTCATTATTGACTTTTTCAGCTGAAATGGTTGAATGACTATCACAAGAAAACAGCAGAGCTAGTCGGCCCCGAGTTGAAAAGACAGGGGAAAATGAAGGAATATGATTGGCTGATAAAGCAAACCAAACCAATTTTTAAGAATACAGATGTTACCGCTTCGAGCGCAATAACAACACTGCAATCGATTTCTCTTTTTCTTGTAGCTGTTGCGTATTCTAGTTTATATGTTGACAATCCTTTCTGAAAATCGTCTATACACATGTATAGAATGCACATGCATTCTGAACTAGATTATTTTGCACAAAATGGACCACGTGAATGGCCAACATGTGTAGGCTATACTAAAAAATATCAATACTTAGAACAACAATCACAATGTCAATAACGGCCTTAATAATCACATTTTTTGTTTCAGTGTGATAGATATAATCAAATTGATTTTTCCGTAGGTAATATTAATTTTTTAAAATGTTCTCAATTATAATTAATAGAAATAAATATTAATTATTCACCTATAAAAATGTAAGTTCTGACCTATACTGCAGACGTTTCAAACATTAAATCATTTTCACAATTTTATTATTAAGTCATTGAAGTATAGTACATGCTTGGGCTTGAATATTCGAATATGATAAGAATAAAAAGGTCACGATACTAAATGCGTGCACAGAACTTTTATATATATCCTAGTTCATGCAGCTTTCACCTGTTTTAATATCATAGCTGTTTTATTAATTAGGTAGCTATATTAAGGTAGCTAGATTAATTAAAATTCAGATTAATTAAAATTCAAAATACACAATATAGGATATATAGATATAATATACCTTTACACAGAACTGTTATTCAAATAATGAAGGGGAATAAGAATTTCCTTTCTCACAGGCTTTGCGAATAATAGAATGGATTTAGATAATTTTATTTACTTTTAGGAATCATATCGAATCGTACGTTGATCAACACAGTCGTGAAAGACAGTAATTTTTGCATAAATTATTTGAATTCAGTTGAAGAACGTGGTATATATAATGATGATTGAAAGATTTATCAATCTAATTAAAACGTTTTTTTAAAAAAGTAACGAAAAAAAATTTCTATACCAATCATTTTCACCCCCCCCCTATTTTTGGTCTCTTGTTTTATAGATTTCTTTTCATGCTATGCACAGTTTCATATTATTATATTATTTTTTTCATTTTCGATTTTTATGGCGACTATTTCTCAATATTTTAACTTGTGACAAAATTTTAATATGTAAAATTTGTTTTATACAATGTGCATGTTGACATTAATCATTGTTTTGCAGCTTTGGCATCCGAAAGTTCGTACAAAGCATATATTTGAACGAGAAAATTTCTATATCGTCTATATCCCCAAACTTAAACTGGTTAACCATAATCCTATAATCCTAACTTATCGATACCAACCATCGATTGTTCACAAACAAACTTGCGTTGCAAAAAGAACAAAAATTTTCTTAAAACTTACAACATACACAATTTGGTGTCACGCCTATAATATATTCGTAATCAAATCACGGCTGCCTCCTCCGCAGGCCCTTCGTTGAACACAGTGCAGTTTTTTCTCACAGAAGTCGTGATATAAGTGATTTTTGCAGGTGCTTTTTGAGTGAAATTTTGATACAGCTAATATAGCTAATATAATATTTTGTTTCAATGTGATCAACGCGTCCTGTTTTCACACCTTAGTAAACATCAGTGATATTAGGTAAATTTGCATATAGCATAATCTACGTTTCTCATATTAATCATGTATCTTTTGTTGTATTATTAAACACAGCTGAGCCGAGTAATAATTTTGGTAAATATTAATTGCAAAAAGTATCTATATATGTTTACACTGCACGATGGAATAATTAATTCTAAATGAAAAAAGCTACTGCTTTGAACTCATATTGCCAGTGTTGATCGAAGGCCTTGATAGAACAAGTCGTTTCGAATTTTGAAGCGTTGGTAAGTCATTAGGTTTATTTCAAAGTAAAGTGAATGTCATCGTCAATTAAGATGACTTAAACTGAATCAGCTTAACTAAGTCTTATCTATACTCAGAATCAGTTTAGTGAAATTAAACCATGCAGTTGAGTAAAATATATTTACTTCGAGTGGGAAAATGCTATTCCCATGGATGGGATAGGTTTTAATGTTGTATGGGATAAGCAGTAATTATACAAGGGAATGTATCAGTTGTTTACTGAATAAGTGCATAACCTGATCCTGGTCGTGTAGTCATTTCGACAATAGCATGCGCATGTTTTGTTTTCATAAGGACTTACTTACTTCAATACTTCAAAATCATCTCACACTTTGTTGAATCTTGGGTGACCAGGCTTGCGGGAGACTCTGGCGTATGCCGTTTTTAATATTGCAGATGTCACAGTCTATTCTGTGTCATCATATAAAAGTCTATTCTGTGTAGGACTTTGAGGTGATGTTAAAATTTTACGGTTGTTTGTTAGCTTACATAGTTAAGGGAGTTATTCATTTTCTAGTAAACCAGTCACGATGGCGAACGGCGTTCGTATTTTCCTCGTTTTCCTGATATTGATGGCCGTAAGCTTTTCCTCAGCCTATCCTGGTTGGGGAAGTAGTAATGAAGCTGAAGCATATAAACCTGCAGGTTCATCCGAAGGGGATGTAAGTAGTCGCTCGCCACTGAGCTATATACACGAGCACGTTTCTAAACCTCATGAGAAATGACGCCCCCAAAAACGAAGATAAATCTCGGCTCTTTGGTCCGAACTTATATTACAACATTCATTATTCATTGTTGTTCATTGTTGTTCATTGTTGTTCATTGTTGTTCATTGTTGTTCATTGTTTTTTATTTTTGTTCATTGCTGTTCATTGTTGTTCATTCCATTTATATTTTGCCGCGATATTTTATTTTGACTAGCGCTAAATGCTTTTCCCTATCTGCCACTGGTCTTTATAATGATTATCGACCTGTCAAAAGGATTCAAACGTGCTGCCATGATCTGTATGTGCCATTTCTTTAGTGCCAGAAAAACAGCAAATATTGCGGAAGACAGAGAGTACTGGGTAAAGTTACCCATCGAAGAAGATGTTGCTCAGGAAACTGTGTTCACAGTCGCACAAATAATGGGATCAAGATATTTGTATGCAGGCCTAGTAAGTAAAATATTTTGAGGGCCAAATATCGACTCAGAGAAAAATGTAAATATATGAACTGTAATTCCCTTAGAAAGCATCGCTATAATTAAAAAAAATAATGCAGAACCTATATATACAATTGTTTGTGTATTGGCGAACATCAGATTTTATCGTTTGAAATACAATTCTAAAAAGAGTTCACCTGTGTGTACGCACGACAATTTTTCTATGACAAAATTATTAAAAAAATTATCTTTGTCTGTGTACAATCATTTATCAGATTTTTGAATATGTGTTTGCTAAATAGCCATAACGTTTGCCATCTTAACGGAAATAATGACCAGAATTATTACCTTGATTAATTTGAATGTAATTTTAAACAAGATATGTCAGGCTGACTACGAAAGAAAGCGTTTGGCAATATAAATTAACGCATAACATATCCTCTATTGTGTTCAATCAGGGCGCTGTAAAACACATGTAAAACACGTGTGTTTTACAGCGCCCCTTATTAGCATTTTCTACAGACGAATTTGAACTGTTCATTTACAAATACGCCAATATTATGATTGAAAATATTATTTACGCTCTCTTGCATGTGGATTCTGCTCTGTACGTTTAATTTTCCTCTCCGCTTGGTCACCGAGATAAAATCAATGTTCCGTTTCCCAACTCATTCGCAGCTGCTGCGCATAAAGCCGATCCTTCGTAACGTCCGCTACACCCGCGGGCCAGTGGAGCGCACTTTGTTTTTCAGCCCCTTCACGATCGCATGGACGAAGCCACTTCGCAGGCGCGTTTGAAGCGGACGGTAATGGAGAATCGCCTTAACTCCTTCCGCCGTTTCGGTGGATGACTGCATATGCTTCACCTACTTTTGTAACCGCGGATTAATCCCTGAGTAATTCACCCACTGGTTTGTCAACGAGAATATTGATTATAATGATGTCGCGTGTACACATTTCGTTATTCCCCGAATATCAAAGAGTCCATTTAATAGCACGGCGCGGCTGAAATTGCTACCCGTACCCGATTTTATTAGTGCTCAGGGAAAACAATAGAAAGTCCGAGCACGAATGAAATATATGCACGGGTGCCCCTTTTAGCCGTGTGATGCCGATAAATTGAGTGTACAGTACTGTCCAGAAATAATCTAACAAGAACCGCGGTTATCCTGGGTCAAACCTCGGTTTGATCGCGGTTGAACCGAGGTCAGAACCGAAGCGCAACCGAAGCACAACCGCAACTGTATACTAGTGTAAACGCGGGGCATGATTATTGAGTGATAAGCGCAAAGCGTTGTTTCTTCATGTAAAGTTTCAGATGTGGACGCATGCAATCTTAAAGAAAATGCTCTTATCAACGAAATAGAAACTAGTCCGCGTTGCAGAATTTTGCTAAACTTTTTGCCACATAAAACGGAAGTTATTTTGAGTTGATTTTTTCGCTTGTATTTGTTTATAATGATAAGAAAAGAAATTATTAGATAATCACCTTTGTAATTATAGTAAAACAATTATTGTTCGACGTATTGAACTTTATTCAGCGATATACTTCAGCAAATTTAACTCGTTTTCGGTAAGTAATTTGTTATGTATTTACTCCCAACCACATGCAACTATACATTGTGTATATAAAAAAAAATCGAATTCAATTTGACAAATTTGGGCCATTTGGAAGAATACCGCTTAGGTAAAAATGTACTATTGTAACCCTCTTTAAATAAAGTTTATTATTACAAACTGCTAGCTGTGTAGCTATAAAATACTACAGTAAATGATATCATTTTTGTATTGCAATAAAGACTTGCCTAGACGACCAGAAATAACCAAGTTATCGTCTGCTAAATACACACTAAAAAAAGGTGTGTTAAATTTACACACCTTTTTTGTCCAAATTTTAACACACCTAAAGGTGGGTTTTGAAACACACCTAAAGGTGTGTTTAACACACCATAAGGTGTGCAAAAAGCATCTTCAAAGGTGTGTTAACACATAGCAAGGTGTGTTTTTGTGCACACCAAAAGGTGTGTAGAACACACTAAAAGGTGTGTCAAAAAACACACCAAAAGATGTGTTTTTGGCTTGTCCAAATTTTAACACGTTCTAAGGTGTGTTTTCAAAGAAGGTGTGTTTTCATACACACCATGGTGTGTTTCATTACACAGCTAAAGCTGTGCTGGAGAACACACAAATTGTTTAAGTAAAAAGTTGCACACCTTTCCTAAAAGTAACATATAAACAGGGCTAGAAAACACACAAACACAATATTAATTTATAAATATATTTTAAGTTCCAATACTATTAAGAATTAACATGAAGTCACAGTAATGAATTATATAAATATCTTGAAGCATGCAGTTTAGTTTAAAATAATGTCTTACTCTATAAACAGTTTATTGACTTGATGTCGTCTCGACTTGACACTTGGTGGTGTTTTCTTGTCTTGTTGGTCACCTTGTTCTTGTTTGTTGGAGTGTATGGTGCCTGCTCAACTGTTGCAATAACATCATCGCCTTATTCATGATTTCATAATCAACAAAGGTCACCTGAAAATATAAAATAAATGCATAAGAGGATCTGGTATTTAGAATTTTCCAATTTAAGATGTGCACAAGCATCTGTTAATTAATAGAACATGCTAAATGATACCCAATTTATGAGTTAAGATTTATTTTTGGTAAAAGAATTTAGGATGTATTGTCAGGTATAGGCAGGTATAATTACATGAATTATAACCTTCTGTTGAAATTTGAAAAATTGGGGTCTGGGCACATTTCCTATAGTTTCTTTAAAATGGGAAAGTTTTATTTAAATATGTATATATAGCTATCTTTCAGGATAAGTAGTCAAGTCTATAGTATTAAAAATCATAAACCATTCTGGAACACTCAAGTCAAATCAACTATCTAATATTTACAACATTTAGAAAGCAAATGCAGTATAGTGAGGACAAAAATTGGTCCTTTGGAATGTTACTAACCCCCAAAAGGAATACAAAATATTAAACATAAATTAAGACACAAAACAATTCATCAAGATTACACCTAGCGAATTATATGCTTTCTTTATACCAAGCATAAACTATGGCATAAACAGCCTTATGTATACACCGATATACGTGTAAATCTCCTTCTAAAAGCACCTAGAACAATTAAATTTTGAAAGATAAAACGTAACACTCACCAAGTCTCTCTTGTGATGTCGAATCTGTTCGCGTCGCCATGCGCTTCGGTGGTCTCTGAATTATTAGAATGAAGCAGACTTTTCACTTTCAAGCTATTCGGGACCTTCGAAGTCTTGAATTTCTTTGCATCGTTTGTAACGGAACCATCAATTTATTCGCTACAAATAGATAGAGACAACCATATTGATTACACTCGTTGGCCATATTGAAATTGATACAAATGTTTGACACAAACGATTCGAAAAGCACTGCAATACAACTTACCCTCTTATAATTTCTTCTTTATACAACATCATAAGCTCTCGTGTGTTCATCTCCAAAAAAATCTTAAAATCGCCTTCACAATAAACATAATTTAAACTTGTAACAGACTCGAAGCACAGTTGTCACAGTAGAGAAGGAAATGTAAACACTATCAGTGGTTTGTATTTCGTGCGCGTGGGTTTCACACCTCGCGACATTCTTATTGGTTAAAAGCGTATGACGTATCAGATCACTGACCTGTATATACAAGTCTGTATGGCAGATATTCAAAAACAACCCAAGTTAATCATTCTTATTACAAAAGTAAACCACAACGATCTGTAAATTCCCTTAAATCTATGTCTTATATAATGTTTAGAGTTTTTAATACTGATCAAAGCTGAAACGCAGGCCAAAGATAACAGGAATTTAAAGCAAAAAGTTAAATTTAAATGCAATGGAACAGCGTGAAATTTCCTGTGACTTGTGTAATTCCTCGTAAGGCTGACGCTTTTATCGACGCACTAAAATACTATAGGTAATAAATAAGGCCAATCAAGCATATTGTTAATAATTTAAAGGTGTGTTTTATAACACATCAAAAGATGTTTCTTGGATGGGTCAAGGTGTGCTGTCAAACACACAAAGGTGTGTTTTCAGTGAAAAGGTGTGTTACTTTACACACCTTAATGAGTAAAAGAAAAGGTGTGCAAAAGGAGGTGTTTTCGCTAACACACAAAGGTGTGTTTTCGAACACACGAATGTGTGTTTGCGTACACACAAAGGTGTGTTTCCTTACACACCAAGGTGTGCTTTCTAAAAGCGCGTAGAAAGGTGTGCAGAAATTACACACCATGGCGTGCAATTGAGCACACCTTGGTGTGTAGTCAAACACACCTTGGTGTGTAATTCTACACACCTGTTTTTTGTGTGTATGGTTGCTTCAAATCAAGATTTTCTGCTTATGGGAATTCGAAGTGGCATGCACATAGAGACAAAAGATAATGCCAACTTAATTCAATGAACAAGGCGCTTGTTTTGCACAAGAAGGAGTTTGCGATAAATTTGCATTTCTGTTTCAGTGCCGGATAATTAGCATTTCAAAGCCTTGTTTGACAAATTTTCAAAAGAAAAATGTCCAATTCCCATCGGCGGAAGAATGTAATTTTTATCGACTTTTCATTTTTTAACAGAATGACGCGTACATGCATGGATGTCATTTGAAAAGCAAATAAATAACCTTAACTTATGTATAAATATATATACGTACGCCGAAGACCCTGCCAACTTTTCCGTGACATATTTCTCCTTTGTTATACATACACGCCTGTCGCCTTCGGCGAATGTGCATAAAACATTTCAGCTTTATTGATTCGATATTGCATGGGGGCGTCTAACTAAGTTGTTCAGTCAACTTCGGGGACGAATTTAATTAAGAGGAGATATTTTTCTTTGTCGCGTAATATATGCTCAAAACCTCAGTTATATCTTCATGCAACAGCACTAAAATTTTCAGCATTAAAAATGTTTTGCAAACCTGAAAAGCATCCACAAAGTATGTTTACTGTATAATCTCAAAATATTGTGAAAATGAAAAGATTTCTCCGGATACGCCGAAAAGAAAATGACACTTGAATCGAAGCTTCTTTTGTATTCATTTCAGTTATAATGGCGTTGACATTATAACATTGTTGATAGCCGCCGCATTATATTTTGTAATAACTCCTTTGTTTGGTGTTTTGCATTCACCAAATACAGTTCAAAACTTAGTTCACAACATAATCTAAAGAATAACGGTAAAATAAATGGATTTTGAGTGGTACGCCGAAAAGTTTTTAGGTTTTGAGCGTTTTCCCGCCAAAATATGCGATATAATAAAAAATCTCCTTTTAATAATAACCTGTATTCACTAGGTTATATATATATATATATATATATATATATATATATATATATATATATATATATAGATATATATATATATATATATATATATATGTTTAAAAAACAGTGCATCTGTGCACGCATAATCTGCCTCAAATATTGCCTTAAATATTTTATACGAGAAAAAAAGTACGAAAATTGCTTTCAGACCATGCAAATAGCTACATGCACTATGAATATGAAGCGCTGATCCAAGAGATACCAGATCAGATAAATTTATTTGTGATTTTAAAGGCCTGTGTGATGATCCTGCTTGGCCGAGATTCGACGAAAGATGACTTTGAGGTATTGAAATGAGTATATAACATGATTCTGGCAGTCGTGCATGTAGTCATTCTAACTATATTGCATGCATGTGCTTGTTTGGTGTCATGCGTAAAGACTTATTTCAATACTTCGAAATCATCTAATGCTTTGTTTAATCTCGGGTAACCGAGCTCATATAAACAGCCCTTAATGAGCGTAAGAATATTTAGTTATAAATCATCTTAAAAAGGAAGCGTCTGCTTTAGTGCTTCGACTTATCGGGCAAACAGATTGATTCCTGCAATGGGCGGTCAAGATTACCAGATTATCTTGCACTGCATGGCGTCCGTGCGCAATACGATATGTTTAATTAAAAGTTTTTGTAAACGGAACAAAACACATTTTAACCAATTTGAAACCAATAATGGCATAAAAATTCCTGAAAAACAGTCGAGAAGCAAAAAATAAACGGAAAATTACAAAAAGCAAAAGCATCTTCGTTTACAAAGTCATTTTGATAATTTCTGGTTTAAGTCCGGCTAGCGTAAAAGAATTTCTTTAATCTAGCAAAATTGTTTTAGTCTCGATAGAAAGTTTATACATATAATTATATCACTAACTATTTTTAATAAAATTTCAAAATGTACCGCCTGCCGAATTTTGGGTTTAAATAAAAAGGGTTTGTTTTAGTATGATAAGTTTATTGAGAATTGTTCTGAGGGCTGGTTGTTGATGTCGAGTGTGCTTTATAATATATAAATGACTTTCAGACTGAAAATGCTCCATTATTATAGTAGAATATCAAACGTTAAATTATTATTATACAGAATGCAAATTATCGAGTCCTTTATCTGATATCTAACCGTTCAGCTTACTCAGCGGGCACGCTCGCAGTCAGAACGACAAATATGAATTGCATGCAATATAAATATAATTTTACAAACGGATGGCGTGGCGTTCTAATATCTGGCATCTTATTTCAATCAAAGGGAAGTAAAAGGGAAGTCATAATTGCTTGAACACCAACATATACATGTAATTGCTATAAACAATGTTAGGTTTCATAAGATTTTTGTATGAGAAAAATTTTTTTGGAACAATTATGTACCCGGGGACTTCAACCAGCCAACTTAAAGCCCGCCGAACGAGAGCTATCAGCTGAGCAAACGACCTCGCGAGGCAGTTATAGCTCAGCCTCAAATTGGTGAAAATCACGATCCCGTTTCAGCAACTAGGACAATGTGCAAGATTAAAAGCCATGTAATTTACATTTTCTGAATGGAAATCCGCCTTAAGGACTACAATTTTCTCCATTTGGACATTTCTACAAATGTCGAAATAACGTATAGAACCACAGCCGGTTCAAAACAGTTTCCGTTTAAAATTTTCCCGATCGCGTCTGCAAGAAGTTCGAATGCGAAAGAAAAAGTACGTTAAACTTTGCGATTTGTCGCACGCATACGGTCTTCTGAACTATACGGTCTTCTGAAGCATACCGACTTCTAACGTATACGAAAATTACTACCGTCGCGCTATAGTGACATTACTGTTAATTTAGTTTATGGCGAAAGTAGTATACCCGTTACATTGAGCCTTCTTATTCAATGAAATACCCCAAATGCACGTAGAAAGTGCGTCTACATGTAAGCGACAGAAAAAAGGTCTTTCTATTTGATTCTTCATCCCGCTTTATTTGCAAGTTTCATATAATACAACTCTCTATACAATAATATATGTTTGCTCATAAAAATATGTCATAATGCCGCGCTTACTAATTAATCACAGCAAATATATCAAATTGAGGAATAATTCAAACACTCCTCGCGCGTGGTATAATTTTAAGCAAATTTACACATCGACAGTGGACTGAGGTGCATGTTTGAGGACAGTCGATGCAAACATACACATTTTACCTGTTAGATTAATTACAAAGCAAATGAAAGCAAGTTAACCACGTCTTGCTTGCATAAGGCTTTGTCACACGTTAATTTGTCTTGTGTGTTTTCGAAAGCAAATTAATTAATAGAAGATCGACTTCCTTTATTGTGTGTTGCTGTAATTTTAAAAAACATAAATCCCCAAGGCCTTAATTCAAATGGCATTCAAGGACGCCGTTGATGTAGGTGTAGAAAATTGTTTGATTCTTCGGTATTCAGTATAAAATTCTAATTCTCGAAGCTTAAAAAACTTCGCAGTAAATAAAATTACACATCATCATATCATGAAACTAAGGCCCGTTTCAGACGTCGAACTTTTCATGTGCCTATAATCGAATGTAAATGAAGTTAAACAAAGACTTTAGCTCATTACTCCGGCGTCAGCGACGGAGTTGAAAATTCGCCTCGGTTTTGTTTTGTTTTTGTTTTTTTTTTTTTTATTTTTTTTTTTATTATTTTTCGTCGTCGCAAGTGTGTAATGGCGCGAAACATTCTAGTATTTAAATGTGTATGTGATTGGATTTATCTATGTCCCAGTCTTATCTCCCAAGAGTTGTGGTGTACAGCTTTGGCTAATTTTCCGATGCGCGATTCGATTTCGCTCGCATGATACGGCAATTCCTCCAAGAGGAACAAATAAACCGTTCTTTTCATGCTTTTCGATTAAGTTTAGACTGAATTGGGGTAAGAATATATTTAATACGTGTAGATTCTGGTCCTATTTTAGTAATATCGCTGCTATTTCGCCGTTTAACAAGATGATGTGGTCGTGTATGGGCGCTTTGACTCGTCGTAGTTTGCACAGGATTGAAGATTTAATATAACTATATAAGCGCGAATTCCAAAGGCAAAGTGTAAGACAAAGCGAATGTATTATACCATTTATTTACATTCTTGAACGATTTAACTTTTATACTTTTTAAAGTACGATGTGCTTCTGAATTTCGCGATCGAACATTTAGGTTCGCAAGGCATCTAAATGCGAATATGAACTGTATTGTTTATGTTCAGAAGCTCTATATTGAAAACTGGCACGTGCGCCGGAGTTAACGCCAGAACAGGCGTCTTGTTAACATTAGTTTCGGAGCATGAAAAGTTCGACGTCTGAAACAGGCCTTGCGTTCAGATTCTGTTTAGGAGTGCGTAGATTAATAAATTCGTCAGGAAAGGTTTGTGGCCAGTTTTGGGTGGCGGAATTTTTGCGTGGATGCACGAGAGGCAAATGAATCCGAAGCTAAATTCAAAATAAATGAATAGCTACACATAAATGATCTTTGAAAAATCTTACTTATGCATGAAATCATTCGTGAGCATCCATATTGAATCGAGTTGACTTAACTATAAGAAGTCCTTAATTTTTTACGAAGTTTATTGGAAATTTTGTTTAAAATTGAATATACCCGTTAAATAAAAAAAGGTGTGTATATATAGCTTTGTTGTGTTAATTAAAACTGGTCAATATAAGTATATTATATTTGGCAAGCGCTTCTTAATAATGTAAGAGATACGCAGCTAGTTCCTCCTTCATGTTGGTAGTTATACTCCTATGCATTGGATACATACGTGCCTGTTAATGTGAATTATATATGATGCATGCATGACAAATTCAAATACGCAGACCTTTAACAATTTAAATAGTTCCTTATACACGTACAATTCCGCATAGCGTGGTCAGCACTATGTTCATCATAAGTACATATATAATACTTTTATTGTCTTTATCCTATTCGAAATTCCTTAGTTTTTCTCATTTCGCTAACATTTTCTACCGACCCATCCCTCTGGGCACGAAGCTTCCCTATATTTGTATAGTTTGTGGAAACACTGAGGATAAATCAGTCGCAAATTAAATATTGCATGCATGTTTAAACGCGAGACACATATGCAGGCAGATAATTGAAAAATAGTGTTTAATATTTTAGCGACCAACCACGCATGCAGGCAGATGTGTTTGCTTGCGTTCATAATCAATCATCATTTCCGAGCTTTGGGTTTATATAAACAAGAATTTCCTAACGCAACGCTGCAGTATTCGCAACGAGCGAGGAAGTATATGTAGAAAGTTCGAGAAAATATTTTGCGAAAGGCGAAGAAGGTACGGTAATATCTTACTTAATTTTAATAAAGATTTGAATTATATATATACATTGAATTAGGCGTATATATAAATTGTCTTGTTGAAGAAAGTATCATCGATCATATTGTAGAAAAAGCTTAGATAAGCCTAAAAACATGCTTGCGAATATGATTGTAAAATTGTAGTTATGAAAAATTGAAAAGGGAAACACCGAGTGTAAGTTTTCTAACATGTTTCCTGACGTCTTAGTCCAGCAGGACATATAAAAGCAAATCGCAACAATGTTTTCTAGTTTGTATATAGAGAGGCAGTTACGGTTGCCAGCCGGCGCGGTCTCATATTTGTACTAAAGGCGAATATAACTTATTTAGCTAGCTACAACATGCTCAGCAGTTATATGAATATTAATATACACTCGAATGAGGCAAAACGGAACGCAAGAGAGAGAGACGTTATTTCCAAGCAAAAAAAAATTAGAGGGTAAACTTAACGTCAAATTCGTGCTAAATTCCGTAAGAAATAACAAATTTAAAAGATAAGTCAGTAGTAATACCTGGAAAAAACAACAGCATATTATGTAAGTAACCCGATTTAGTGCGTTAGGTGTCATTCCAAAATTATAAAGAACGCATAATCACATAATGCAAACGCATATGTTTTTTGCATCGTATCTTACTTTCCAGCGTTTTCCGACAGCGATCAATTTTGCAATAAATTAAACTCCTAATAAACATTATAAAAAAAAATTACGCTTTTCTACGTTGAACATCGTATTACGCTGAAGAAGCTCTATCAGATTGTAATGAATGTTCGAAGTTTGCAATAATTTACATTGAAAGTAGTTAAATGACTTTTCTATATGTCTAAAGAAAATTATGAAATTTACGATACTGAATATGTCATATAAATTCTATACCCGATGGTTTAAAATTTATCAAGCCTATAGGATTTTGCCATGCATGCGCTATTTAAATATTCCAATGTGTTTTAGCGTTGAGTTTAAATACAGCTTGCAGCTTGCTTATTTTCATATGTCTGGAAAAAATTAATGAAACTTACGCTTTTGAAGTCTTAATAAGATTTATTATACCTGAAACGTTAGTTTTTATCAAGCCGCCTTTAGAGAACGGCTTACATGCATGTGTATTTAAATTTTCATATGTCTAGGAATATGATCATTAATATAGAATAGGATAGAATACATTTGTATGCGATAATGAAGACATTATAATTCATATAAGGTGCACATCCTAACGTTTAAAACTTATCAAGCCTAGACATTTTGCCTTTCCCACTGCCGTGAATAGGTTCAACAAAGGTGATATAGCTGTTATTATAGTTTTTACCGTCAATTAAGAAACGGTTTGCGCACATAAATTTTCATATGTCTCAGTGAAAACGTAATGAAAACTTGCTTTACCACTGATGAAGTATGTATATGTATAAGATTTAATATAGCTGAGTGTTTGAAATTTAGCAGCCAGTTTTTAGCAGTCATGCAATTTTCATAATTTTCACTTAAATTTTCATATGTCCAGAAAAATCTAATGAAATTTACAGTAATGAGTAATTATTTGGTGTATATATACCGCAACGATTAATAGCATTAAGGCTAGCAATTTTGCTATCCACTACGGTTAATAGGTTCACTGAGATATCAAAAAAGGTGCATAGCAGTAAGATCTTAATATTAGCAGTTAATTAAAAAATGGCTTGCGCAATTAAAATGGTAACAAAACGCCTGTTCTGGTGTTAACTCAGGCGTGCCACGCACGTGCCATGCAGTCTTCAATATAAAGCTTCTGAAGATAAACAAGACGCCTGCTCAAGGCGTTCACTCCGCCTGCATGCCAACTGATGTACCTAATTCATCCGTGGACCATGTAACCCAGGGCTTCTCGGTCAAAATGTTTTGGGTTACCTGTAGAAATGCCAACTTCTGTCGCCCAAAACGACGAAAAGGAAAAAAGACCATGGCATTTTAAGACTCCACTGCGCATACGCAGGCGGAGTAACAATACATTTCATACTCATTTATAAATCTATAGATGCCTTGAGAACCTAAATGTTATTCAATCGCGACACTCAGAAGAACATCGTATTTAAAAAGTATAGAAGTTCAATTGTTCAAAAATGTAAATAAACCACACGATACGTTCACTTTGTCTTACACTTTGGAATTCGCGCTTATAATCAATCTTCAATCCTGTGGAAACTGCGACGTGTCAACGCGCCCATACACGACCACATCTTGTTGAACGGCGAAATAGCAGCGAATATATATTATTAAAATAGGACCAAAATATACATGTATTAAATATATTATCAACCCAATTAAATCTAAACTTAATCGAACAGCATCAAACTGAACGGTTTATTTATTCCTCTTGCAGGAATTGTCGTATCATGCGAGCGAAATCAAATAGTGCGTCGGAAAATTAGCCAAAGATTTCGAGCTGTACGTGCACCACAACTCTTGGGAGACAAAACTGTGACGTAGATTAATACGGTCACATACACTTTTCAAATACTATTATATCTCCCACTTTTAACACTTTCACATAAAAATAATAAAAAAACCCCAAAACAAAACCAAAACCAAAACCAAAACAAGATCTAGGCGAATTTTCGCTGGCGCCGGAGTAATTAAGCCATATCTGATGTCGTTGTGTTTACGAAATACTAGAGAGTGCTCAATACCATACATAGATAGGGCAGAAATCATTTTACATAGAAGTTCGGGGTAAATAAGGAATAAATAATGGATGAGGTTTCGGTGTGATGTATAACAATATTATATATTAGCTACGCGAGCGTGTCTCTGGGAACAGCACTTTTAAAAAGTGTTTTAATTTCTTCTCCATCACTTCTGAGCTATATCGGCTATGTATTTAGGTTTTTGCTATTCACAGCAGAGAAAACAAATTTGCTGATAGACGGTGGGCATCTCGACTGATCAGATTACAGAATAGCTAATAGCAACACCGCAGAAAAACGTCTGCGCACGCGTCAATTCTGCCTGTAAGTGAGATTAAAAATAATTAAAAAGCGGTACCGAACGTTTCCGAAGGCTAAAAATGGCGGCAAAAAGGAGTCATTTCATTCGTGTCTTCAAATCCATATTTCGAGGGCATAAATAAACATTGCATGATAGAAACTAAGAGAAAAAACGCCCAGAGAGTCCTAGAAGTGGCATCCTACAAAAACACCTGCAAAAGGTGACTGTTAACAAATTTTTCGTCTCAAACATTTTGTTTATAAAATAAGCAACGACAGTTTCCGAACTTTTAATTGAGACACGTTTTATTAAAAAAAAACATGTCGCCAGATACGAGACGTTTGCGTGTTCTCAATGATTGAAAATTAAGATGTATTTTACAATTTAAATAGATTAGAAAGCTTAACTTTCCGCGGGTTTTCTTAACTTTTAGGTTTAAACTTTTGTTTTCGAAAAATATTCTAAAGCCACCCTGTAAAAAAAGGAAAATTTACCGTGAATTCCAGTTCGTTCGATACTCAAAATGCTAGAAGGCTTTTAATTTATGTTCTGTCTGGCCGTCTTGTATATTTTTGCCTTTTCTTAACTTATATTTTATCAAAAAAATGGGCATGTTTTGTTCCAAAAGTTGATATTTAGATTTACCATTATATTTTGATATTCCGGCGCGTGCGCAGACATTTTTCCGCGGTGTTGATATAGGTTAGCGTTATCTGACTCAGTCTACGGTTTCTGCATGCTGATGACACAAAACTCGGCTCTGATAATTCTTAATATCACGCGAAAACTAAATTTGAAAATTGTTCAGTATTATGGTGACAAGACTTTTGTTAAATTTCACATGTTGTCATATACTTTACAAAGTCAAATTCACCAATTCGGCCACCGCAGATTAAAAATATAGCTTTGTCACACTTAAACAGGCAGCTTCGCTAACGATATAGAGTTGATGAATGGATTATTCCCCTATTATAAGTTATATTTGAAGCTAGAAATACTCATCGCCACATATGAAGGAGAAACCTAGCAAAATTTGGAAAGCTGGGTTGCGAAATATAATAATGTGTAAACCTTAGATACTCAGTTTCAAATCTCCATATCTTGTAATAAATTCTCATGCGCTTAACCGCACTGCAAACAGTGCCGGAGATGCTAATTTCAATTTCGAATTTAATTATTTACGTGAGAAATAAAGCATGTATATAAGAACCTCCTATTTTCCTACTCTTTAATTAGTTTAAGTTGGCGATTTTAACAAATTTTTATCCAAATATACAAGAATTAAACTGAGGATTACAGGCAAGCGGCTTCTGTGTATCAATTATTTCTGCTCATAACATTAGGGACTACATGCATGCATAATTTAGAATTAGCCAAACCTTACCCTTAATTATTCATTATAGTGAACTAAAGGCCTGTTTACAAGGAGCGAGTTATCCCGGCTATAGGCAAACTGCATATGATGAAAGACTAATCAGGTTAAGCCTTTGATGTGATGCGCTTTTTACCTCGCCTAGTCGGGATAACTCGCTCCATGTATAAAACAGGCCCTAAAAGCATGTTTAACATTTCGGCAGAACATAAAATTCTTAGAAATAGGTCTACAGTACTTCAATATGAAAAGAAACTAGATAGACTCTAGACACAACACAGACTGTAAACCACCTAAAGGGCCGCTTTCCCGTTAAGCGCATTTTATGTAATGTGATTTATTTACGCATGCATAGATATATTACCAGCAATGAATTTTGCACACCCCTTCCGCAGCTCAGTTTTTGAGCATCAATAATGACACATTAAATTTCACGCCGCTTTGTGATAATTTTAGCTAACCGGTTTATTTCTGTCAAAAAAAGATGTTTATGAGGAAAAGGATATTAAAAATTCTAAATATTTATGCTCAGAAAAGGGTGGATGCATCTTTTATCATTTAACATCATAAGGTCAACAACAATGCGGAAAACTAAGTTCCTTGATTTATTCACAGTTTATTTATTTATATTATAAGTGTATAAGGGATGCTTTTCACCTTCCGCGTTTTTCATACGCACGTAGTAGCTACACGTACATTAAAGTTTAAATCCTTAATATATGTCATATCTAAAAAAATAGGAGAATAATTCCTAGAACGGCTGCTCTCCACTTACGCGTTTTTTTACACGCGAAAATGTTAAAAAAAATCCATTCTTTTTTATCATTTAACACATGGGCCCACAAATGAGTACTATAAAATATGCGGAAAGATTTATTTCCCTTTTCACTTTATTCGCCTAAAGGCCCACACAGACCGCGGACGCGGTGCGGCAACGCGACGCAAATTTTCAGTTTTTAGGAGCACATAAATTAATGTCTGGAAGCAAAAATTGGAATCTATGGACGCCAGAGAAGTCAAAATGTATCATCGTTAAGTAATCTACAAGAATACAATGATAGTTCAAAATTTATTTGCTTTTGAAAAATGAAAAACTTTGGAAAATCTATTTCAAATATGACATATAGAAAATTTCAAATATGACATATAGAAGGATTTAGACTTTTACGGGCGTGTACGGACGTGTACGGGCGTGTACGGACGTGTAGTTACGTGCTTATGAAAAACGCGACAGTGGAAGACAGCCCTAAAATGTTAAGTTTTTCTGGGCGTAAAAAAGCGGAAAACGGTACGAAACTCTTACGTTTAGGATTGAGTTAAAGCACACACCAAGCCGGTATGAAAAATGCGAAACCGGAACATGAATGCATGACTATCTTAGGTAAAAAGTGTTCTAAGACAGTCATCTGGCAACCGTTGATTGCGTGATATTCTTCATGTGCGATTACGTCATTGCTTTCATGCCCCACGCCCTACGCCCACGTTCGCGACATTATATCAATTAAATTCAACAAATAAGCTACAGGTAAAACAGCGGAAATGATGAAAAATCCGTAGTAAGCCATCTTCCAAATGTGATGGCAATGACAAAATTTGAGGACACAATAACAATATATGGAGTTGCACTTTTAATACTGTTGGTATTTTGTACTTGAATGTTGTTCACACACAAGTATGTCAAGATAAACCGCCATAACCGCCAAACGTATTGAATTGTTGTAGTCGCTTTCTCGAAGAACATCTATGGATTTGAAAACAGGCTGGAAAATTGGCACATGCATGCATGCAGACACTTCCAGCTGTTGAAACCGTCAAAAGCAAACGTCTAACGGTTTCAAAACCAGGGCCGGCCGGCTGTATGAAAGCAGGACAGCGCTGTCCACGGGATAGTGATTTTAGAGTGTTTTAAGAACTTTGCATTCAAGTATATCGTTATTTACATCTGCCTAGCGTGGGAAATAAAGTTTTATCGCCATATTCTTAACGAAATACTCTATTTCAATTTAAAATATGACCGCGGTCTGACCATTTTGGCCGCTTAATGGAAAGCGCCCTTCGTTTCCCGTATATTTTAGTATGCACTTTTAGACCTGGATTTAAATAATAAAGATGTAGAAACATTTCAAAATTTTCCGTGCGTGTACGTGCGTATAAAAACGCGTAACTGGAAAGCAGCCCTTAGGAATACTAAGATTTCATCAAAGTTATTCCCAACAACGTGCGATTTTAAAGCGATATAAAAACAACTATCCGGTGGATAGCACTATCCGGCTTTCATACAACCGGCGCCAGAACGTCGAATCGCGGTTTGCATTTCGCGTCATAATAAATTCGCGTCATAATAAATTCGCGTCATAATTCGTTAGGATAATAAAGCACTATAGCAGGCATATTAGGATTGATATCAAATATCGTCTGACACACGTATATACTTAAACGGTCATTTAGTGTTTTAAAGACCTTTTTTACTTAAACATTACGCGAGCATATAGAGTGACGATACTCAAGTTAAGAGTCCATTCTGAAAGAACCAATGCGGAGTTTTCAAAGCTGAGGAGGTTGATATTACTCATAATGCAAGCCATATATTCTATTACATAAACAGTGAAATATTATGACTGGCTGATATTTAGGATAGCGCGTGTGTTTTTCTATCTATGGGAAGTAAGTTAAGAGCCCAAGTAAGAATCCTAATCGTGTTCAATATAAACAAAAGTCTAGAAAAAATTCCTAAGCTGACTAAGAAGACGAGACTCCCATTGTACAAAAAAAGAAATCAGAAATGTGTGTATATAAGTTTTGAGGCAGTTGTAGTAAATCACATCTCTAATCTACATATACATATATCTAACACAACTCTATATATTATCACTTCACACAGAGAATTGAGAGATATGGCAAGAATTGTCGTAATTTTAACGTTGGTGTTGTTAATCGCGTCCACAGGAATGGCCTCCTGGTCTGGAGGCCATTATCGCTCGAGTAGGACCAAAAATCGCGTGAGTATACTTGCATTTTATTATTCAGAAGTTATAACGTCGTAAAAATGTATATACAGTATATTTTATAGCTTCTTGTTAAAAGAAGATTTCATCGACTTTTGAAAAACGTTTTTATGCTGAAAATTTTAGTAGCTATACATGATATTATACAAATGTTATACAATTATACTATCCAAATTATATTATATTATATTATATTAATTATTATATTAATTATATTATATTATATTATATTATATTATACAAATGTTACAGAAAAATATCACTTCTTTATTATAATAAACTGTTTATAGATTTTTGGCAGACAAACAATTTCCCTTACGACTTGTTGTATTTTTCTCACCTGCTGCTATGTATTGTGTTGTGTTTTCATTAACTGTTCAATTAAACACTGTATTGTGGTCTGTAGATTGCTGATTGCTATTTCACAGCCCTTTCATTCAGTTGGTCAAAATACATCAATTACCGTAAAATAGTCTAATGCAATCTGCTAAAAGTATCTTCAAACTTTAAAGTGAAAGTCAAGTCCGTATTTTAACAAACGGTTTGAGTTTATATTTGAACTTGTACACTTTTGAAAATGGGATGTGCTGCCTGAATAACTTCTACCAAAACTAGTTTGTTACGCTACTAAATAAGTATAAAGTATTGTTTATGTGCAGAAAAATTCGAAATAAACGAGATTCAGGCAATTTTAAATGTAGACAACCTCGCATTGTTATGAGCAGAACTGATGCGCAAAACTGACTTAGCTAATTTCCACGTCAAAAAAGTGTGATTTCAATACATAGCTAATTTCAAGAATTTTTATCACTGCACGTATCATCCATCACAAGGAGAGGGGAGCATGATAAAAATGGCCCGAACTGGAAATTGGAAATTCAAAGATGGGCCAATTGTAGGGTTTCTGTAGAAATTTTTCGGTATTTTTCAGTCCCTATGACCTAATTTCCAGCATTTTTGGGGACAATTACTGATGAATCCATCTCAGCAGAATGAGGTCTGTTGAGAAAATACCATTTATCACTGCAATTTCTCATTTTATCAATTATTACTGCACATTCTTCTTTTATCACTGAACAAATTGGTTATCACTGCACACTAAACTTAGGTATGTTTCAATATTTTTCATGGTTGCCTGTTAACCGCAATCGAAAAATGAAGTTTTTGAATTTACTTTTTGAAAAAGGAAAGTTTGTTTAAAAGAAATTATAAACGGCTTTCGCATACTGTCCTAAAATATACTTGAAAAAAAAACACAATGGATTTTTACGACTTGCAAACATTAAGTAAGGTAAGCTTTTTTCTTCCCATTTTTTGTTATTTAGTGTCGCCCCCCCGGCACGTATTGCAAAAGAACGGATCCGAATGGAAAAACAACAAATGAAAGAAAATGCTGCAGTGGAAGATCATGTGCGTTTAGTTTTCAATCGGTCGGGGGACACCAGTTTTATAAGTGCAAAACATAGTACAAATGAACTATTGCTTTGTCAAGAAATTTACCGAGATTATTGTGTGTTGCATTATTTGTGTGTCTGTAAATCACTATAAAAGAATGATAAACATGCCGTCTATAAATCAAGTATTAAAAATATATTGGAAACAGTTCTTCTGAATGAATAAGTTTACTACCCTTGTGAACTCAGCCTTGTTAAACCAGAGATTACCGCTCGATCGAACAGAATTATAATTGAGCTGTATGTATAAGCGGTGATAGTTACCTTTTATTTACTTCTAACTTCTTTCTTCGGAGGTGAATTGTTAAATATTACCTTATATATACAGCGATAATATTCAACAAAAAACTCTGACCTGTAAAGTATTTTTCATCCGGTAAACAATGAACTATAACAGAGACAGCCATTTTGAATATGACAGATTTGGCCTTGTGTGTTCATAATAATTATATGGATGCACAGTCGCGCGCGGGCACTAGTGTCGAATGTTAAACATTGAGAATACAAAATATGTCCATGTAAAACCAAATAGGCACACGCTATTGTAGGCCGGAATAATTGTTATGTTCGTGTATTTTAATATTTTCAATCAAGTAAAAGCATGTAAACAAACCCTAAATCCAATAGGATATATATTATATTTGTCTATATTAATATTCAATATTGATCGTCGCTATGAAACCTGGAATTACTTAGCCTTTCCCTAGCCAAATCGATGAAACTGATAGAATTAAGTTTCTCATAAAACAATTTAAGTTGCTATAGTTTCCCACTTCTATAAGAAATTTTGGTAAAGGTTACTAAAGGTGAGATTCAAGGTGAGATTGCTGCTATATTTTATATAAAATATATATGGTGAGATTGCTATATTATTTATAAGAACATAATTTGGTTCGGTATATTTCTAAATAAATATCGAGGTATATTTCTTGTTCAGAAAAACATGCAGTAGTCTAACCATGCAAACAATGTTTTCAAGCATGAAAAACCGTTGCGCAGACGCTGTTGTAAAGCACATGTTCCTTTGAAGATAATGCATGTATGTAAATATGTCGTGACAAAAGTAACAAAATATGCCATAGAAAGGGCCATTGTGATAGAGTTTGGCCTCCAAAAGTTACAAATTTGGCAACCCAGTAGCGATTATATTGTTTTTACATTTGAAATTTTATATGAATACACAAGTACCCCACTTATGCCTCTAGTGTTTCCGAGTAGTTTGGTTAGGATTATAGGGTCAAGTTTAGGATTAAATGTGAAATTATATTCCTGGATTCTAAACTTGGAATTACAAGCTTTAATCAGTCTTCGATTAACTGGTTATTATCTCGCGTACAGTTCATAGCATACCAGAATAATGCCATGCAGCTCGCGCGTTTTGCGCACTAACATGCAAAAATAAATGATTTGGTACTTGAAAGAATCGCTTAAAGACCTCGCGGCAACATCCGACCACTTTAGGACTGTAATTGCATCACGCCGAATTAAAATCAATTACGAAAATCGACCAAACATGTTTCTACCTCAATCAATAATGACACGATCGATGATATTCAGCCTTATTTCATTAAACATCACAAACAAAACTGAAAATGTCACAGGTGAGCCTAATGCCATGAAAAACTCGTGGATTTCATGATTTTCATCTCGTTGAAGCCTTTTGACGTCGAAGATTAGCTTGATATGAGACTAAGAACATGTACTTAATAAATAAACTGACATTGCTAAAGTGAAGTTTGTCTAGAGCATGTGCTGATGCACGATTCCTTTTGTTAAACCGCTTGCCTTTTAATAACTATATATTTGAATTTTGCACGACATGAATTATGAGTATTTACTTTAGAAATCTACGAGTGAAAAGGAAAATTATTTTTCCGGACAATCCGTCTTACCCGAAGATATCAATATTTACATTGAATTTCCTTTTTCATAACGATCCATCATACACCATGCGAATAGAAGAGACATAGGGGCCATTGGCGTGAAAGTAGAAAGGACAGTATTTACAAGGGTAATAAAAGCGACCTGAACATTTAATTTGTTCCAAGGAGAACATCATGCATTTCCTGAGAGTAATTATATGACGTAAGGCATGTGGCAAACATTATTATATTGTATGGAAACAGGGAATATATAGCAATTACTGATCAATTGGATTTATTGTAATCTTGAATGGATAGATAAACCTAAATAGGCTTCAGAAAAATTTGATTTCATAAACTATTATGTTTCAGTAAAAATTAAACACGTCAAGTATTCAAAGACCAAATATCATCATGCATGTATATATATCTGCATTTTCATATCATTATGTACATATCTGCAGCGTTTCCAACACTTTACCCTTTTTGTGTTGTCATGCAGGCTAAGAAAGGCGGTTATCCGTTCCTATTTTGACACCCACTATATTTGATTTGCTCTCTGACCTTGTATAAATTACACGGTTTGTATAGTCACACGATAGCGGATTGGTATCGTGGGGAGTTTAAAAACCTCGCATTCATCTCGACCTTCCCCTTTCCTTCGGGTGCATTTTGTCCAACTCTATGCTATTATGATGCTTTTAATTCTAAGCTCAGTTAAGAAGTCGAACTGTTGTGATGATGTGAGTCGGTTATCGTATAACATGACTAATCAGATTGTTGATGACTAATCACAAAGACAAAGTATCTCTGGTATTCTATTAGTAGCGACGAAGCAAAGGGATTGCGATTTCTATATCTCATTACTTTAGATTTTCATCTATTGAAATCTTATATCGACCCCTTACTCAGTCGAGGAAATTGTGTTATTATGTATCTTATTAAAAAATTAATAAAAATTAAAACTTTTGAATGTTTACCCAGCCGCTCTAAATTAATTTACAATCAAAGTATATTTTTAAATTTTACATTTGGCAACAGTTATTGCAAATTTCCGGCGATTTAAAACCTGTGGATTTGATGCCGCTGCGGTAATGGTCATTCTGCGAAAGACTCAAGACTCAATAAGTTCGAAATAAAGGCAAATAAAGAGATAGCTAAGTTCGACAAAAAATTGCTTGTAAGGAACAAGGTAATGTGTGAAACTAATTCCTTAAAGATAACTTGTTGCATGGGAATCGACAGTGAATGAAACAACTTTACTATTTTCATAGGGAAAACGATAATTGTCTTGTGTGTCTTGCCGATCTAACCGTTCGAACTCTTATAATCTAACGTATAAGATTTATAGGGGTTACGGGAAACATAACTCGTTCTGTTTGGACAGGGTTTAGTGGACGTGGTCGAAAGAATAGTTGTTAGCATTACATATAATATATACTATATGCAAGCGTTGCGTATGCAATGCATTTGCGTGGGAAATAAGCATTTGATTGAGCTGAAAAAGCGAAGATAATGTATTTTTAGCAGGATAAGTTTATGGTTAAAAAGTTCCTCGAACAGGCCTTTGTACTGGATTCAATTTGTAGCAATAATACAAGTTATAGAACAGTAAATCTATATCATACTTGGTGATTGAGTTCCGAATATTTAATGACCGCGTCAAATAAAAACATTAATTGGAAGAGGCAGGACTAATTTATTTTATAGCGTTGTTCTTTGTAAGACAGGATTACGAGTTGCATCTTGCCTTTCCGTTTCAAAATTATTCGATAGAATTTCAACTATTCGATAAAACGTTTGGATGGGATTAAGCATACATGGTTACCTTGGCAATTTATGCAGGAAACTCTTTGTCGATTGGATTCATCGTATCGTACAGGCCTGCAAAAAGAATACAAAATATATATTGTATACTCAGGGCTGTCTTGTCAATATCTTCACAAACGTTTTCGAGAGCAAAACCATTCTCAATAACTCCTTGAGATCAGATTTGATACAATATATAAATGACATGCAAGTAGACTGTTGTTCGAAAGATTTGTTGACGATTTTTATTACGAATAATTATTACTAATAATTACTACACCAATGCCCCATATATAGTAAAAAACACGGTTGTTGCATCAGTTAAGACGACATAAATTCTTATGTTTTAGCAAAGTGCAACTCTAGAACTGTTGAATTTTTCGAATACTTCAAAACTGGCTGTTATCTTTAAAATGACGCAGCCCGACAGTGATAATTATGTTGTTTTATGCAAGAGGATTTGTTCGATGTTAATACTCACATTTCCACAGAAAATCATGAAGATACAGTAGATTATAAAATTTTTAAGTTAACTAAAGGCTTAGATTAAGAAAGGACTAGGGCGCTTTCCTTTATATGGAAAAAGCGGCTAGACCGGTCCTGTTGTATTTCGGTACAGACATATTACTGGTATTTTAGTGTTTCAATATATCGTTATTTACATCTGCCTAGCACGGGAAATAAAGTTTCACCGCTATATTCTTAACGAAATACTCTATTTCAATTTAAAATATGACGGGTTTGGCCATTTTGGCCGCTTAATGGAAAGCACTCTTATATGCATGATAACTGATCAAATCCTTTTTTCAGTGAATGTGCGCTCCCTGGGTCAGAAGCCTCCCTTTAAATAGCCTGACTCATCGAACTTTTTCAAATATTTCCGAAAACTGGCCGTTATGTTTTAATGCCGTAACTGACTTTGATACATTGTTGTTAGACAATGACTTTGTTGGGTTCTCAAGTTGACACATTCTTACCGAAAATGGTGAAAAATACTGTAGATTATAAGATTCTAGGGATTTTAATGGCTGATAAGTTATTTATGATAGTACAAGCCCTTTTCCAACGAGGCTCCCCATGCATAAAAGGGTCTGGAAAGACTAAACCTACGGGTCTATAGGCAGAGAGATTTTGAATTGCTAAGCACTTCTTTGACACAGGAATAAAAGGAAACATGACAAACATGTCACGTCTTGTCATCATTCTCTTGTTGATCTTGGTAACCACGTCAACAGTGATGTCTGGCTGGGCACATAATAGCGGGAATCGCCGAAATAGAAGAAAAAGGTAGGCAGAGAGTTTTGCTTCCGCATACGTACAAAATATATGCAATCACAATTCCGAATTTAATTGAATTTAATTAAGACATAAAATTGACTAACGGTGTGGGGGTTTGTTTCTGAAAACCTATTAGACATAAGTATATCGCAATAATAACAACAACAATGGACGATTGCGCTTTAGACTAATTTCTTCCCCGGCGATATTTTCTGAAAGAGCTTACTAAAATTAGTAAAACTTACAAGTTTAGCTGCGAATTGTTGTAAATTTCGGAAAATATAGCCGTGCAAAGGTTACGAATTTTGTATACTTCTGTATTACAGCCGGAAGTGTGTAACTAATTTAGTTACACATTTCCACACGTAATACAAAAGAATGCCAAATTCAACTTCAACTGGCTATATTTTCCGTATTTTACAAAACTTAGCATTTGCACTAATTTAAGTAAGATCTTTCTTACTGTGGTGATTTATTTTCTTCTTGTTACTTCGATCAAAAATTAGTCGAAAGCGCTATTCGTCCATTGTCCGGTGCAGAATATATATACCAGTTGCGATTAAGCAGGTCTCGTATGTATGCCAATCTCCAATTAATTTAAACAATTTGCAGATTAAAGGAAGAATATGTTATTTAGCCACTTCCAAAGAAGTTATATACTCGTTCTTAACTTATACTAATTAAAATTTCTTCTCTCTACAGTAAGTATCAGTAAGTATATCTACCTAATATGAACGAGTTTTGTGATTGGCTTTTGTAACAATAGTGAACAGTGTTGATGATTCGTTCTCTCGGTTCATCAATTTCTATGGTTCATTGTGTTTTATTGTTATCATCAACCAATAGCAAAGCTTGTTCATATAGGTACGTACAGACCCCATAAACTTGGTGTGACACTGCATGTTGAATCTCGAGAAACTGGTCTTCTATAAATTTTATCCTACATCGTTGTTCTTTTGCAGTGCAATGCCAGAAAAGGCACTTTCTGTAAGCGCATAAATAAAGGCAGAGTCACCTTGGACTTGACATGTTGCTCAGGAAGATGCAAGAAAATACGGAAAGACGAATCGCGGAATTTCACTCTACGTATGTAAATGAAGCTCTACCATGCGATATGTTACATAAACATGCTACATTGACTTAAATAATTGTTTTTCTTTCGTGCAACTCTAGTGAAACTTAAATAATGTGCTTATATGATGTGAAATATGATGTAAAATATGATGTAAAAATTATGCAAAATAAAAATAGTAGCTATCATTACTTAAAGTCGTAAAGGAGGATTTCCATTTGAAGCGAAAATATACTTGCATAATTATATTCTTTTGAAGACACATTAGTTCAGCTTGACTGTTCTCATTTTAAAAGAATGTGCAAATATTTCGCTAGCGAACATTTCTCTGCAAGTGGAAATCCAGTCAATACAAGACTCTTTTTACAGCGACATCGTATCTTCCCGGTGCATGTAGAGGGAGGGGTTGGCATGATAACATAGACGATTTGAGTTTCAGCTGTGTTGCAATCAGTTCGTCCCTAGTCAACAACTTCACAGGCCTGATTCCGCGGGCACTTTTTCTCTGCGACTTCTTTTGAATTGTTTGTATATATATAATTTATTTAGAATAAGCAGGCGAACTATTTCACGCATCTCGCTAAAAACTTTGCCGGTGGAATTTTTTTGCATAATTTATTATATAATGAATGGAAAAGTTTATCTTCTTGGCGACTCTGTTGGCACTCTAATAAGATTATCTTTTTCATCTGATCAGATGACCTTTAAAAATGGTTGGCTCACTTTCACTTGCATTTTCTGTGCAAATACTTGCCCGATTTTAATAAAAATTAAACCATTTAAAAGAGAACATTCTCTTGAGTAGATTTAAGTCAATAAACGCACTTACACAACAGTTTTTATTTTTAAATCGCGTCAATTTCAGCGAAATTGGTCGCTTATACGCGAGAAATGGCTTACGATGTGTTTTTATCTCAGTAATGACCCATAGGCAGATGCTATTCAATAACGCAGGTACAAAATAAATGATCAGTTGAAAATAATGAGTACAGTTTTAATGAAAAAACTTTAAAGGTTAAAACACATAATTCGAAATATTCAATGATTATAACTACCAAAATCCATAAATCAATTAATTCGAAATAATCAATACGTTATAATTATATAATTATGCAAATAATCGATATGGAAATCAACTTATCAATAATAGTTCAAAAAATATTGAATTAAAAAAAATTATATCTGAATAAAAGAAACCAATTCAAAATAATAAGTGAAAGCAATTGATCGTTATCATCCCATTAGTTATTGTTTTAATTGTATTTTTCGCGACAAAGCGTAACGGGCCTAAATCTTGTGAATTGCTGCAAACTTAGGTACGCTTGTCTTACATTTACCTAAACATTTTCTCTTTTTAGATGTATGTACTTTCAATTTCTTCTGTTTTGAAACACACAGCTCATTGCAAAGCGATATACGGGTCGCAAATATAAAATTCAGTCCGAAGCAGGCTATTTTGTCCTGTTTGCAGATGGAAAAAGAGCTGTCACTTTGAAATTACACTACCACGTTGTGCAATAACGTTTCTTGAAATACAAATTATGCAATAATATCAATCATGCAATTAGAAGGCTGGATACCATCACTATTAATGTACGAAAACGATCACTTTCGAAATGAAAAATTCCACGTCTTAAAGTAATTATTATATAGTAAAAATTCTAGTGCTAAAAAAATTAAAAGTTGTAGAGCCACACACATAATGCACACTTTCAAGGTTTACCCTAGAGGAGAGAAAAAACTTGTTATTCAAGTCTCCGTTTAAAGATAGAATTACTATTACAAACCATAAGCACTAAAAAATCCCTTCGAAATGAATAATTATCAATTATTAAAAAAAAATAAGAAACAAATCACATAAATGGTAAATACTTGATTTAAAAATCGATTCTTGTTTTAAAATAGTCAACAATTAAATTCAAAATAATCCACAATCAATTCATAAAAATAATCCATCTTCAATTTAAGAAAACAAGATTAATTCAAATTACACAAGGGCCTCTTGGGCCTGTTAGTGTAATTATGATTATACGAGCAAACGAAGGGAGAAATATATGGGAAAACAAATGGTAAAGCTTGTCTTACCGTGCTCTAACTCACATTTCAACGTTTCCGGAACCGGAAATGAAGAGAAAAGAAAAAGAAAACAAGCCCGGGTCACATGACTCGGCCTATAAGTACGTGCCCCCCCGGCGCCTCATCGGCTATTTTTAACACGTCTGAAAAAAAGGGAGAAATATAAGGGATGGGATACCGCTAGACGGTACGGGATGGGCCCATATATTTCTCCCTTCGTTTGCTCGTATAATCATAATTACACTAACAGGCCCAAGAGGCCCTTGTGTAATTTGAATTATACTTCACAAACTCCGGTCGAAATATATGGGAAAACAAATGGTAGATTTCAACGTGGAAGGGCAAAACCAATCTGCTAGCAAAAAACAATAACAAGAAAACGCAGTTTTATTGAACGATATGGAAAAATAACAAACAAAATGCAATAAATAAATGCTAGCCAACATTAATTTTGTTTAGATTCGAACATGTAACTGAAAAAGAAAAAGTTATGATATGAGTATTGTTTTTGCATAACTGTCATCAATCGTTGGTTTGAAATAGAATCGTTGGAAAGTTGAAGGAGATGTCCAATCGCCCATTTTGAGAATATCATTTAGTGGTAGTTGTTTTTTAGCCGCGGTTGAAGTTGACGCTGATCTGGTGGAAT